ATGTTTATCCTCTGAACCGATCTTCAAAGCACGATTCGGGTGTGTCGCTGTGTTGGTCAGTTTGGTGTCATGGTTAAGTGCGCGGACTCTAATCTGGAAGAACCGGGTTTGATTCCCCCACTCCTCCACTTGCACCTGGCTGGATGACCTTGGGCAAGCCGTAGTTCTGATAAGAGCTGTCCTTGAAAAAAGAGCAGTTTCTGTCAAGAGCTCTCTCAGCCCCACCTACCTCACAGGGTGTCTGTTGTGGGGAGGGGAAGGGAAAGGAGTTTGTAAGCCGCTCTGAGACACCTTTGGGTAGTGAAGGGCCATGGGGTATAAATCCAATCTCTTCTTATTCTTTTTAGTCTGAAGCAGCAGAACTAAGTCTGAGTCCAGTGGCACCTTTAAGACCAACAGAGTTTAATTCTGGGTAGAAGCCTCCGTCACTTCTTCAGAAACACACAAAAGCTTATACTTTGAATAAAACTTTGTCGGTTTCAAAGGTGCCACTGGGCTCAAAGATAACCGAACAAAGCAGCCTGACTGAGCATCGTTAGGATGCTTTGAGCAAATACAGCGGGACACTTCCCTGTTAAGGGGAGAAAAGAGACCACACGCTCAAACCAAAGGCTCGCATTCCGAGGCTGGCTTTCTTATGGCACACCCTTCTGTGAAAGCGACCAATTGTGTCGGGAGGGCCTCGTTAACACAAAGGGACTTGTCAGCCCAAAAGGGATCAGAAGCCGATTGGCATGTGCCACCAATGAGCCGACCCGCTGCCCACAAAGGTGAGAAGCAATTCACAGGGGCATGAAAAGGGCGGTTGAGCAATAACCGGAGAGGGAAGGGGCGGGAGAAAGTAGGGCCATTCACCTGATGCAAAGCTGGAGGCCGCATGCCTAGGAACAGGGCAAGACGACTTCTTCACCTCCCAAGACAATTTAAGTGCTGTTTGTGGCATGGTGAGGAATGGCAGCTCGGCCTTGCAACATCAAAAGCTGCCCACTAATAGGGAGGGAAGCCAGGAAGTCAGGGGACACTTCGAAACAAAGGAAAGAAAGGGGGGGAGGGAAGGAAGGGAGGGGTCTTATCCCTGCTCCAAACACCTTGAGGCTACCGAAGCAATTCACACCTCAAGAGCACCCAAAGGCTTCTGCTGCATATCAAAAAAAAAAAAAGAGAGGAGGAAAAAAAGACAGCAAAATAGGTCCGCACAGAAGGGCACAGGTGAAAAAAAGAAAAGAGGAAAAAGGATTTTTCACACGGGTAACGCAGGAAGCACTTCTCTGGGAACCGAAGGGTACAGTCTAAGGATGCCAGCCTCCAGGTGGGACCCGAAGATCCCCTGAATCACAGCTCATCCCCAGAGATCCTTCCACCTGGAGGAAATGGATGCTTTGGAGGGTGGACGGTATGGCACTGAGGTCCCTGTCCTCCCCGGTTCCATCCCCGAACCTCCCCCACGATTCCTGCAACTCTCCTCTGATTCGCTTTTATCTCAGACTCCCCAAGGTAAAGGTAAAGGTTTCCCTTGCTCGAAAGCCAGTCGAACCCGACTCTAGGGTTGCGGTGCTCAACTCCGTTTCCAAGCCGAAGAGCCAGCGCTGTCCGGAGACATTTCCGTGGCCATGTGGACGGCGTGACTAGACACCGAGGCACACGGAACGCCGTTACCTTCCCACCGAAGCGGTCCCTATTCACCTACTTGCAATTTCTTGCTTTCGAACGGCTAGGTTGGCAGGAGCTGGGTCAAACAAGAAATATATACACTGCAAAAACCTTATTTAAAAGTTAAAGTGTTCTATATGTTCCATCTTATAAAGTGCATTATTATTCATAATATTCTAAAACAGGTATATATATTCCTTACATGCAACAGCAACAATAATAATCAGTTTGTACAATCTAATAGCTACCAGTCAGTTTACATCCTTTTAACATAATCAACCCCAACGGGAGTTTCTAGAATTGTACACCCGCTTCTCCTTGCTTGAAAGTCTTCTAAAGGGGGAAATTTCCTTCTGTGGTTACATTGACGTTTAAATTGATGTATGTTGCTGGTCCTACAAAAGGCCCATTAAGCAGCTGACAAACATAGACAGAGCTCTCCTGTCTTTCTCAAGGCTGCCTCGAGCTGGGGGCCAGAGACGAGAGCTCACTCCGTCATGCGGCACTCAGGTCTCAAACTGCTGAACTACCGACCTTCCGGTTTGCAGTTCAGCGTCTTAACCACTTGAGCCACCACGGACTCCCCAAAGGAGCCCCTAAATAACCCACAAATGGGCTGCCAAGGCGAAGGCGGTCACCCTCACCTAAAGGGAGACCGTGTGGAGCCTTGTTGGGTGTTACAAGTCAAAACACTTCAGTAATTACAGGGTTAATGATGTTTGTTAAGTCACATGTTTGTTTGTAACCAATCTGTTTAGACAATAGAATGCCCGGGAACTTTGGAGCTCATTTGCTAGTCTGATTGGAAACTAATGTGTCAAGTATTTAGCATATTGGCTTCTCCTCCCGTTCTTTGTTCTGACTAGAGAAGGAGACGCCATTCGGCTCTTCCCGTTTTACCTTTTAGCTGTAAGGATGTAGACATATTAGCTCTTTGTTATTTTCATATCCTGTGTACCTTTTTCCCATGTTAGCTTTATAGTAAACTTTTATATTTTAAAACATACCATGGACTCAGTCTCTTAATACTCTGCTGACTTACTTAAAAGAATCCCAACAAGCCTGGACTCTCAAAAGCCAGAAACTCCAGTTGGTCTCTAAAGGTCTACCGGACACGACTTGAAGTCCCACTGATATTTATTTATTTATTCATTCATTTAATTTATACCCCGCCCTCCCTGCCGAGGCAGGTCCGGGGCGGCTCACGTATAACATAAAACAATTAAAACAGAATGAGATAATAGGCAGCTCTGTCAAAGGGGGACGGCTTACAAAGCCAAGCGGAGGAATAAAAAACTCACAGGAGATGGAAACGCAGAGGCTGTCCCCCCCCCCCCAAAGGACAGGGAGGAGCTGCCGGCAGTGGGTACGCCCATTCACACATCCGTGGCAACACGTGCCTGTCCTGATGAGGACCGAGTGACCCCCGTGGGAACCCTGCTCCAAACCTTTCTCACGGCCCCCTTGCTCTTCTTAGTCACGGGAATTGGCCACCTGAGTCTTTCTTTTTCTTTTTTAATGGCAAAATAGGGATTTGGAAAACCCTGAACCGTGGCCAGGCTGGTTTTGCCTGCGCACCAACGCTCCCTCTAAGCCGTGGAGTCTTGTGAGCAAGAATCCTGCTTGGTGAGCTCCTGGCGTTAAAGTTGTGAGTGAGCGATTTGGCTTCTGTGTACGTTAGTCTGCTCTGCCGCTCTCCGTCCTGAGCTGAGGCAGGAATCTGTGAGCTGGAGGCTAAAAATCTGTGAGCCGTCTCACACTAACTCGGCTTAGAGGGGACGTTGATCAGCACCACTCAAAAAACTAAATGGGCAGCCCTTTTGAAGCATGGGTGGAAGGGAGAAACCGAGGACAGATCTGACAAAGGAAATGCTTGTATCTGGTCGCTTATGTTTTACATAGCAGAGGCAGGCGAAAACACATATTTCCCCCAGTTTAGAAGAATCCCTCAATCAATGCTCCCTCTAAGCCGTGGAATCTTGTGAACAAAAATTCTACTTGTCGAGCTCCTGGCATTACAGTTGTGAGCGAATGATTGGGCTACTGCATAAATTAGTGTGCTCTGGAGGTAAGCTTTTTTAAAGTCCTTTTTGGACTGTTTTGGATTGCTAACTATGGGGGGGGGGACGCATGCACAGATCTGCCCTCACAGAGGAGGGAGAGCTTGTACCTGAAGGCAGGCCGGGGATGGGGGGCTCTGCAACTTTCCTGGCTGCTTCTTGCTCCTCGTGGCCCGACTGAGGGCTGCTGGGAGCAGGGGGCGGGGCTTGTTGTATGTGCCCTCCCCCTGGGCTCCTTACTGCCGGAACTCTGCTCCTGTGCGCTCCCGCAGGAAATGACCCCTGGTTATTACTACCAGTTATATTGTTGTTACTCTTCAGCAATTGTTTTATTATTCTGCTATATTCTTAGCTCCCGTTCACACTCGCTGATTTGGTCCGGGAGCGGGACAGTTCGGGGCCGGATCAAACCGGCGCAATCACACCACAACATCTGGGAAGCGTCCGGCTTCCGTACCCGAACTGTCCCTTTCCCGGGATAAGCCGGCACAAACTGAACCACCTACTTTGGTGGTTCAAATGGACGCGCCACGGCAAACCGGGCGTTTGATCGCCGGCGCGTCCTCGCGCCGGCACAACCCCGGGCCAGAGCCGAACTGCGCATGCTCTGACATGCGCAGTTCGGCCGGCTAGGCGTCCGAACTGGGTTTTCTCCCCGGCGTTTGATCGCGCCGGGGAGAAAAGGCGGCGCGGCCGGGGGATCCGTGGGATCCCGCCGCGCCGTGTCAACGTTGGCGCGGCTTTTAAAAGCCGTGCCTTAAAGAGGCTTTCCCCCTGCCGTGTGGCAGGGGCCTTAGCATCCCTTCGCACAGGTTCTTTTTTCTGGCCTTAGCTGCTTTGGGCTCCCAGTAGAAAGGAACGGCATGGTAAAAGCAAACGGAAAAAATTAATCTACCTCACAGCACTGCTGACAGAATACAAAAACTGTGGCGTTCTCGGTATGATGTTAAATGCTCAGAAGTGCCAAGATGCCTTACAGCCATCGTTCACAGAGAACGCATACCAACTATGCTTGCCCAACACAAAGGGAACACAGCCGTCAGCCCAATCCCAAAAATATTCTGCATTTTGGGTTTTTTCCTTTCCTACTCGGGACTTTGTCAACGAACAAACGTGAACAGCCTTCCGGACTCAACCTTCACCGCGTCTTAAAAGAAGTGAGGGGAAACGGAACACAGCACTCAACTCTCGAGAGCAGGGCGCATTCAAGCCGACAGTGACCCCTGGTGGCACCTCTCCACAGCACGCTTCGAATTAAAAAAAAAAAAGCTCTGAAAACAAATGGCTTACCTTAACGCCATGTTCGTCCACTGAATTACTACCTGCCACAAGGAAAGAGAGAGAGAGAACACTCTGTAGCATCCAACAATAAAGAAGATTCTAAAAGTTACACAGCCGTTAGTAAAGGTAAAGGTTCCCTTGCTCGAAAGCCAGTCGAGGCCGACTCTAGGGTTGCGGTGCTCATCTCCGTTTCAAAGCCGAAGAGTCAGCGCTGTCCGAAGACGTTTCCGTGGTCATGTGGCCGGCATGACTAAACACCAAGGCGCACGGAACGCTGTGACCTTCCCACCGAAGTGGTACCTATTTATCTACTTGCGATTTCTTGCTTTTGAACTGCTAGGCTGGCAAGAGCTGGAACTAGAGACGGGAGCTCACTCCATCATGCGGCACCCGGGTCTCGAACTGCTGAACTACTGACCTTCCACAGCCTGCAGTTCAGCGTCTTAACCACTTGAGCCACCGCAGCTCCACACAAGCCTATTTATAAGGTTCACTTATTTCACCACTGCTTGGCTCTTGTAGTCCTTTATTATATATCCAGGGCAATACTGATCGCCACTCGGGGGGTCAGGAAGACATTTCCCTCTGGGCCAGATTGGCCAGGGATCCTGGAGTTTTTTGCCTTCCTTTGGGCATAAGAGCAGGGGTCACTGCGGGAATGGGGAGGGGAATAACTCTGAATTTCCTGCACTGTGCTGGGGGGGGGGGGGGGGGGGGGGAAGTAGATGACCTTTGGGATCCCTTCCAACGCTATGTCTCTATGAGGCAGAAGCACATAGAATTCCACTAAGACCAAGAGTACGCTAAGACAGCTCTTAGTGTTTCAGTTTCACGAGGGCAGATAAGTTCTCAGACACTACAGTTCTCCTTTTTTGCATACTCTACACTGGCAGAAAGAAGAAGGTATCCTGGCCCTCCACTTAGAAGAAGAGGAGATTGGATTTATACTCTGCCCTTCACTCAAAGTCTCAGAGCGGCTTACAAAACTCCTTTCCCTTCTCCTCCCCACAGCAGACACCCTGTGAGGTGGGTGGGGCTGAGAGAGCTCTGAGGAGGAGGAGGAGAAAAGGAGGAGGAGGAGATTGGATTTATACCTCCCCGCCCTTCACTCAGAGTCTCAGAGCGGTTTACAATCTCCTTTCCCTTCCCCTCCCCACCACAGACACCTTGTGAGGGAGGTGGGGCTGAGTGTGGAGGAGGAGAAGAAGAGGAGGAGGAGATTGGATTTATACCCCCCACCCTTCTCAGGGCGGCTTACGAACTCCTTTCCCTTCCCCTCCCCACAACAGACACCCTGAGAGGGAGGCGGAGCTGAGAGAGCTCTGACAGAAACTGCTCTTTTTCAAGGGCAGCTCTGACAGAACTGTGGCTTGCCCAAGGTCATCCAGCAGGTGCAAGTGGAGGAGTGGGGGAATCAAACCCGGACCTCCCAGATTGGTGTCCGCGCACTTAACCACAGCACCAAACTGGCTCTCACACCAAACTGGCTCTCGCTTACCAGCTAGGGGAGAGATACTGTCTCCAAATGTGGATTAAACTTCCGGAAACAGAAGAGAAATTCCACAGAGAGCCCTTGACTGACACAGCGCACCCACAGCCAAAGGCTCGAGGGCAGAGAACCTGCTTTGCATGCAGAAGGCCCCAGGTTCGGCCCCTGGAGTCTCTGGCTAAAGGAACCAGGCGGCAGATGTTAGGAAAGAGCCTTCTCTGGCAGAGGCCCTGGAGAGCTGCTGCCGGTCGACAAGGCTGACCTAGATCAGGGGCATCGGACTCATTTGTTACAAGGGCCGCATCTGACATAAATGAGACCTTCTTGGGCCAGGCCGTGTGTGTCATAAAATGTGACGCCAGGTAGCGGAGAGATAAACTTTAGAAAGGACCCAAACACAAAGGTGTGGTTTGTTTTTTTTAAAACTTAAAATAAAAACACGCTTAAAACATCAGCACTCTTGCAATAATTTTGCTTACTGAACAGTGTCTGATGACTGACACCTCTTGCTCTGAATTATCGCATCGGAATGTCTGTGCTGTTGCAATCCTGAGCGTGCTGTTCAGGGGTGTATCTGTAAGCGGCAAACCTACGATGACGCAGCAGCGGCAGAAGAACTGGAGGAAGAAGCAGGAGACGGCCAGTTCCACTGCGGGCCTCATAGGAGCCCTCCGGGGGGGCTAATCCGGCCCCCGGGCCGCATGTTTGACACTCCTGAGCTAGATGGTCTCTGCCTCTCAGGCAGCTTCATATGTTCCTAATGGAAGGGCAGCGTTCACATGCCTTCCATAGTATGATGGGCACCAGTGTTCCCTCTAAACTGAGTTCGTGTGAGCTAGCTCACAGTTCTGTTGCCTCCTGCTCACAGATTTTTGTCTTAGCTCAGGGAGGAGGGCTCCAGAGCAAACTAATGTATGCAGTAGCCAAACCGCTCGCTCACAACTTTAATGCCAGGAGCGCACAAAGTACAATTTTTGGCTCACAAGACTCCACAGCTTAGAGGGAGCGTTGCTCCCCATCCCCAAGGATGGGATGCCAGCCTCCAGGCGGGACCTGGGGATCCCCTGGAATTACAGCTCATCTCCAGACTGCAGAGATCAGTTCCCCCGGAGAAAATGGATGCTTTGCAGGGTGGACTCCGTGGCCTTGTACCCCACTGAGGACCCTGTCTACCCTTGGCTCCATCCCGAAATCTCCAGGCGTTTCCCAGCCTGGATATGGCAACCTGACCCCTCACCTCCCACCGGTGGCTGGGGGGGGATGACCCAGCGACCCGAATTGGAACCTGAGAGGGAAGGCAGGAAGGGTTGCCTCAGTGCTTAGTTCTCGTGGCCCCTTTCTTACACGCCCAGGGAAATGCCGATCGCCACTTTGGGGTCAGGAAGCCATTTTTCTCAAGGCCAGTTTGGCTGGAGATCCTGGAGGTTTTTTGCGATCTTCTGGGCATGGAACAGGGGTCACAGGCAGTGTTCCCTCTAAGCTGAGTTAGTGTGAGCTAGCTCACAGTTTTGTAGCCTCCGGCTCACAGATTTTTGCCTTAGCTCAGGAAGGGATGGCTCCAGAGCAAACTAACTGATGCAGTAGCCAAATTGCTTGCTCACAACTTTAATGCCAGTAGCTCACAAAGTGGAATTTTTGCTCACAAGACTCCACAGCTTAGAGGGAACACTGCACAGCCACAAAATGGCTCCTGCCGGAATCAGAACACCTTCAGCTAGAAGAGGAAGAGATTGGATTTATACCCCGCCCTTCACTACCCAAGGGAGTCTCAGAGCGGCTTACAATCTCCTTTCCCTTCCTCTCCCCACAACAGACACCCTGTGAGGTAGGTGGGGCTGAGAGAGCTCTCTTGAGGACTGCTCTTGAGAAGAAGAGGAGAAGAGATTGGATTTATACCCCGCCCTTCACTACCCAAGGGAGTCTCAGAGCGGCTTACCATCTCCTTTCTCTTCCCCTCCCCACAACAGGCACCCTTGCGAGGTAGGCGGGGCTGAGAGAGCTCTGACAGTAACGGCTCTTTTTCAAGGACAGCTCTTGACAGAACTATGGCTTGCCCAAGGTCATCCAGCAGGTGCAAGTGGCGGAGTGGGGGGAATCAAACCTGGATCTCCCAGATTAGAGTCTGCGCACTTAACCACTACACCAAACTGGCTACATAGTACTAACAAAAGCCTACAGTGCCAGAGAACCAAAAACAACGAGTAACATAGATATAGTAACCCTAACTGAAACTTCATAGTGATACATAGGTAAAGGTAAAGGTTCCCTTGCTCGAAAGCCAGTCAAGTCCAACTCTAGGGTTGCGGTGCTCATCTCCGTTTCAAAGCCGAAGAGCCAGCGCTGTCCGAAGACGTTTCCGTGGTCATGTGTCCGGCATGACTAAACACCAAGGCGCACGGAACGCTGTGACCTTCCCACCAAAGTGGTACCGATTGATCTACTTGCAATTTCTTGCTTTCGAACTGCTAGGTTGGCAGGAGCTGGAACTAGAGACGGGAGCTCACTCCGTCTTGCGGCACCCGGGTCTCGAACTGCTGAACTACTGACCTTCCACAGCCTGCAGTTCAGCGTCTTAACCACTTGAGCCACCGCAGCTCCTAAGTGATACATAGAGGGCCTTAAAAGTACAACAAAGTCTGATAACAGCGGTTGTTTGGGATAAAACCCCCTTCAACTAAATAACTGACCACTGGGAACCAAACCTTTTGAAATGTTTGCTGACGGGATTCCGTGGTTATTGCAGCGGTTGGTGAGGAGATTCTCCCTAGGAGGAAGTGCTCCCAGAGTTTATTTTGCCAGTCTGCCAGAGATAGAGCTGCTATGTCCTTCCACGTTTGATTCTAGCTATGGCGATTAAAGTAGTGATTGTTGTTTTTGTTGCATTTCCCATAGAGTCAGACTAGATATTTGAACACTTTCCCTATGAGGAAAGGTTAAGGCGCTTAGGGCTCTTTAGCTTGGAGAAACGACGGCTGAGGGGTGACATGATCGAGGTTTATAAGATTATGCATGGGATAGAGCAGGTAGAGAAAGAGGTACTTTGCTCCCTTTCTCACAATACAAGAACTCGTGGGCACTCCATGAAACTGCAGAGCGGTCGGGTTAGAACGGATAAAAGGAAGTACTTCGTCACCCAAAGAGTGATGAACACATGGAATTCACTGCCACAGGAAGTGGTGGTGGCTACAAGCACGGACGGCTTCAAGGGGGAATTAGATAAGCATATGGAGCAGAGGTCCATCAGTGGCTATTAGCCACAAGGTATAGATAGGAACTCACAGGCTGGGGCAAGTGATGCTCTGTCTTCTTGGTGCTTGGGGGGGTCAACAGTGGGAGGGCTTCTAATGTCCTGGCCCCACTGGTGGACCTCCTAATGGCACTGGTATTTCTGGCCACTGTGTGATACAGAGTGTTGGACTGGATGGGCCACTGGCCTGATCCAACATTGTCTTCTCTTATGTTCTTATATGATGCATGCATGGTTTCAAGGGGGAACTAGATAAACATATGGAGCAGAGGTCCGTCAGTGGCTATTAGCCACAAGGTATAGATAGGAACTCACAGGCTGGGGCAAGTGATGCTCTGTCTTCTTGGTGCTGGGGGGGGGGGGTCAACAGTGGGAGGGCTTCCAGTGTCCTGGCCCCACTGCTGGACCTCCTGATGGCCCCTGGTATTTTTGGCCACTGTGTGACAGACAGATGGGCCATTGGCCTGATCCAACATGGGCTTCTCTTATATTCTTATGTCTGGGGCATATGATGCTCTGTATTCTTGGCCCTTGGAGGGAGCAACAGTGGGAGGGCTTCCAGTGTCCTGGCCCCACTGCTGGACCTCCTGATGGCCCCTGATATTTATGGCCACTGTGTGACACAGAGTGTTGGACTGGATGGGCCATTGGCTTGATCCAACACTGGCGTCTCTTATGTTCTTATGTAGGTTTCAAACGAGAGGGCGTCCGGGAGATCAGGTAAGCTGACATCAGGTATGATTTTAATTTGTGCAACAATTTGGCTGCAGAATCGTTGTATCTTTGGGCACTGCCACCAGCCATGCAAAAAGTCACCTTCGTGGCCACAGCTCTTCCAGAAGTATTTGCTACTTTCAGGTTTTATTCTATGCTCTGCTTTGAATGTTCATGGAACCTCGGCCCGATGATAAACATGGGGTCCTCGGCCACCACAGACACGATTTTGGCAAGGAGCACCCAGCGAGCATGGACGCAGCCACCGCGTTTGGCAGGAGCGATGCGGACGGCGGCAAACTTACCAAAGATGTAGATGATGGCTACTCCGCTGCTGGCGCCCATCAGCCCCGCTATCCTGAGCACGACTTTCTTTGCATAGGCCGTGTTTTCCTTCTGCTTCTTCTCTTGCTGCTCATCAGAGCCGGCGCTTTTCCCATCTCCACCTTCTGCTGCCTGCAAGGGAAAGGAATCCAGAGGAATAACACACAGTCCCAAAACGATCAGGTACGAAAACAACATATACAGACATGTGCTAGATGCCCACAGAACAATGCAACAACAAATGAGACTGTATTAAAGCCATAACATATTTAGTGACTGGTAAGCAACATATTCCATCGCAGGGGGAAAAACCACAAAGATCGATAGCAATTCACATAGCAGTCTGCTCACGTCTGTCTCAGTCTATATTCCTCAAACAGTCTTGTGTCCTTATTCAGATTCACAAAAGAAGAAGGAGAAAAAGAAGAAGAGGAGGAGGAGGAGGAGATTGGATTTATACCCCGCCCTTCACTTGGAGTCTCAGAGCGGCTTACAAACTCCTTTCCCTTCCCCTCCCCACAACAGACACCCTGTGAGGTGGGTGGGGCTGAGAGAGCTCTTGACAGAAACTGCTCTTTTTCAAGGACAGCTGTGCCAGAGCTTGTGACTGACCCAAGGTCACACCAGCAGCTGCACATGGAGGAGTGGGGAATCAAACCCGGTTCTCCCAGATTAGAGTCCGCACCAAGTTCTGCTCCAAGTTCAGTAAGTCTGTGTTTCTCTTTCAGTCAACACATATTCCGGATATCTAAGTGTTTCAGACCTTTGGTCTTTCCTTGGGAAAAAATCCTATATAGGAACCTTACATTCACTCTTATACTCAAGTAGAAGAAGAAGAAGAAGAAGAGATTGGATTTATACCCCGCCCTTCACTACCCGAAGGAGTCTCAGAGCGGCTTACACACTCCTTTCCCTTCCCCTCCCTACAACAGACACCCTGCGAGGTAGGTGGGGCTGAGAGAGCTCTGACAGAGACTGCTCTTTTTCAAGACAGCTCTTATCAGAACTACGGCTTGCCTAAGGTCATCCAGCAGGTGCAAGTAGAGGAGTGTGGAATTATACCCAGTTCTCCCAGATTTGAGTCCACACACTTAACTACTACACCAAACTGGCTCCTCTTACCATAGTTAGCAGATATGACCATATTCTGACAATCACAATAACCACAGTTAGCATAAACCAGCTATGGTTTCACACCAAATCTGAATTGAGACAGAGAATGGGCTTAACCAATACAAGAGCTATACAATATGCTCCACCAGGGCCCTCCTTTCACAGACACCCCACCTGTTTTCTACAATGCAAGTATAACAAAGCTGCAAAACCAAAGTTCAGCTTCAACTTGTTCATTTAGTGCAAAGGTCTAACTTAGCTGTTCCTTTTTTGCACCTTGTATTAAGAGCCCCTGCTAAAATTATTATTGTTACCTAGGTACTATTTTGTCTACAAATCCTACACTTGGCTTACTACAATCCGAAAGTGGCCAGTTTCTTAACTGGTCCAGGTGGCAGCATGCATGAGTTTAACACACACCCCGGTACACTTTCCAGAAACTTGTGTGACTGTAGCTTGAGACACAGCAAAAGGCTGCTGGATGAAAACCCGATAATAAGAACATAAGAGCATCAGAGAAGCCAATGCTGGATCAGGCCAATGGCCCATCTAGTCCAACACTCTGTCACACAGTGGCCAAAAATACCAGGTGCCCTCAAGAGGTCCAGCAGTGGGGCCAGGACACTAGAAGCCCTCCCACTGCTGCCCCCTCTCCAAGCACCAAGAATACAGTGCATCACTCACCCCAGCCTGAGAGTTCCTATCTATACCTTGTGGCTAATAGCCAATGATGGACCACTGCTCCATATGTTTATCCAGTTCCCTCTTGAAGCTGGTCCATGCTTGTATCCACCACCACCTCCTTTGGCAGTGAATTCACTCTTTGGGTGAAGTACTTCCTTTTATCTGTTCTAACCCGACCGCTCAGCAACTTCATGGAGTGCCCACGGGTTCTTGTCTTGTGAGAAAAGTACTTCTTTCTCTACCTGCTCTATCCCAGGCATAATCTTATAGACCTCGATCATGTCACCCCTCAGCCATCGTTTCTCCAAGCTAAAGAGCCCCCAGCGCTTTAACCTTTCTTCACAGGGAAAGTGTTCCAACCCTTTGATCATTCTAGTTGCCCTTTTCTGTACTTTCTCCAATGCTATAATATCCTTTTTGAGGTGTGGTGACCAGAACTGTACACAGTACTCCAAATGAGGACGTACCATCGATTTATACAGGGGCATTATGATACTGGCTGATTTGTTTTCAATTCCCTTCCTAATAATTCCCGGCATAGCATTGGCCTTTTTTATTGCAGTCACACACTGTCTTGACATTTTCATTTAGTTATCTACTATGACTCCAAGATCTCTCTCTTGGTCAGTCTCTAACAGTTTGGACCCCATCGACGTGTATTTATTGTTAGGATTTTTGGCTTCAATGTGCATCACTTTGCACTTGGCCACACTGAACCCCATTTGCCACGTTGACGCCCACTTGCCCATCCTTGACAGATCCCTTTGGAGTGCCTCACAATCCTCCCTAGTTGTCACCACCCTGAACAACTTTGTGTCATCTGCAAATTTAGCCACTTCACTGCTTACTCCCAACTCCAAATCATTAATGAACAAGTTAAAAGGCATCGGACCGAGTACTGATCCCTGCGGTGCCCCACTGCTTACCACCCTCCACTGAGAAAATTGCCCGTTTATACTCACTCTCTGGTTCCTATTAATAATTACTTTGGCGGTGGTGGAAGGGACCCTTAATTCACAGCTGCCTTATGGCAACCTAGTGGGGTTTTCAAGGCAAGAGACGTTCAGAGGCGGCTCGCCATTGCCTGCCTCTGCGGAACAACCGCCGTCTTCTTTGGAGACCTCCCATCCGAATACCAGCCAGGGCTGAACCTGCTTAACTTCCGAGATTTGACGAGATCAGGACAGCCTGGGATAGTGGTTCGAGCACCTTTCTCAAGGCGGATTGCAAACGAGAGCAGCAGAACTATGCAGGGGATCCGTAAGCCCACCGCAAAATGCGATAACCTTTGAATGATAATATCTGGACATTTGAATGATAGTATCTGAGCCTAACAGCAGAGATTCCTAGTAAAGCGAAGCCATTCGGTCAATCAGCAAGTGGGGTACAAAATACGGTGACAACTGAACCTCACAGCAGTGATTCCCGGCATTACCCTATTATGTATTTTATGCATCATTCAATATGCTGTGTTGATACGTCTACTTCGTTTCAGATTTTTAAGTTGGTTTTAATTTCTGCAATCCTAATCCTATTACACCCTGACCTGCACAGCTAACCCAATCTTGTCAGATCTCAGAACCTAACCAGGGTCAGTCCTGGTCAGTATTTGGATGGGAGACCACCAAGGAAGCCCAGGGTCGCTATGCAGAAGCAGGCAACAGCAAACCACTTCTGAATGTCTCTTGCCTTAAAAGCCCTAAAGGGGGGCCATAAGTCTACCACCAGTCCTATTACACTGTTTATTGGATGTCCTGTCCTGTTGATTGTACTGATTTCCACTGTTGTAACCCCCCCCTTGAGTCTCTGTGAGAATAGCAGACTATATATAAAATAAAACACCATCATACAGTGAAAAACAGAAAGGGGGGGGAGGAAGTCACATTCTCCCTTTCAGACCTGCATTCAAATCCTCCCTGTGCTATGAAGGTGGCCTTTGAGCCAATCACTTTCAGCCTGACCTACCTTGCAGGGCTGCTGTAAGGTAATAACAATAGCACCACCACTGTAAAGGAAAGACAGGATAAAAAAACAGACCACCACTCCCACACACAGACCAGAGTTCAATGTGCCATGAAGGTGGCCTTTTGGACTTGTCACTTTCAGCCTGACCTACCTCGCAGGGCTGCTGTAAGGCAGTAACAATTGCACCAGCACTTTAAAGGAAAAGCAGGGCAAGAGCATGACTGAGAGCTTCCCTCTACCCCAATAAAGAGGACACCCCCCCCACACACACACAGACGTGAGTTCAAATCCTCTCTGTGCCATAAGGGTGGCCTTTTGGACCCGTCACTTTCAGCCTGACCTACCTCGCAGGGCTGCTGTAAGACAATGAACAACTGCACCACCACTTTAAAGGAAAGCAGGACAAGAGAAGGATTGGCAGCTCCACTCTGCCCTAATAGAACCACCCCCTTTTGGACCAGTCACTTCCAGCCTGGCCTACCTGGCAGGGCTGTTGTAAGGCGCTAAGGACTGCCCCAGCACCACCGCTGAGCTCCTTAGAGGGAAGGCAGGACAAGCGCGTGATGGACAGCCCCCTGCCCCAATAGGGAGACACCACCACCCCTCCTTGGGGGCGTGGCTATGGTCCCCCCTCCTCCGCCTCACCTGCTTCTGCTTGACGGCGTCCCGCAGGACGGCCTCCGTCAGCCCCGCCCCGACCACCTGAGGGGGAGCCCCCGTGCTCAACAGCCGCCTCGACGCCGGCCAGGCGCCCCGCCGCCGCCACCGCCGGCAGCAGCAGTTCGCGACGGCGGCCGCGACGCCTCCCCGCAGCGCCGCCATTGACAAGGCGCGGACGCCCCCCACAGCCACCGCCGCCGCCATCTTTGCCCACCACACTAGCCACGGCGCATGCGCAGGGGAAGGCGGGCGAGCGGCTTAGCCAATCAGGAGTCGGGGAGAAGGACGCATGCGCCGCGTTGGTGGGGCGGCGGAATGGAGAGCGCCCGGGCTTTTCCCCCTTCCTCCGGGCTAAGAGGTCTCTCTGCTTGGACACGCCCACCCTTGGACCCCTGTCCAATCGCGAGGCTGGAAGCCTCCAGGGCTGTCAGTCAAGTCGCGGAGGTTTCCCCCCCCGCTGCCCCTCCGAGTCAAGGTGACAGTTGATTGGCTGCCCGTTCGCGGCACGAGGCGGCCGCTCTGACGCGCGTGGTCGCGCTGTCCAATGCTAGGAAGGGAATGTTCTCGCGCCGGATTGGCGCTCATCGAGTGACTTTGAATGGCCGAGCGCGGATGAGAACGTGATGATCCCGCTGGGTTTTAGGGTTGCCAACTCAAGGCTGGGAAATTCTGGGAGGGTGGAGCCTGGAGGGGGCGGAGTTTGGGGCAGGGCGTCAGCTGGGTATAAGGCCATAGAGCCCGCCCTCCGAAGCAGCCGTTTTTGATCTCTGTGACTGTCACCTGGAGATAAATTGTAATTCCGGGAGATCTCCAGGCCCTCCCTGGAGGCTAAAAATACAACAAACTCCATGTGAAACAGTCCAGTAAATAATATAACACTCTTTATATTCAATATATATAAATTCAGTAAGTCAGTAGCATGCAAAAGAAAACTTAGACCCAGAACTTTGCTCTGTTGCTTCAGACCCACGCTGCTAACCCCACCTGAATTTTTCAAGAGAGTTTTTCTGCACAGGTAACAGGGCTTGTTACAAACTTCCTGGGATGAATGATTTGGGAGTGGGGTCTGTCCTGCTGCATATAGCTTACTGGTATGTACAGTTAGATTCGAGTCCAGTAGCACTTCTAGAGATGGAGATTTTCAGAGCAGGAGCTTTCCAGTCAAATCTCCCTTCACTGTGCTCCCTCTAAACTGCGGAGTCTCGTGAGCAAGAATCCTACTTTGTGAGCAACTGGCATTCAAGTTGTGAGCGATTTGGCCGCTGCATAAATTCATTCGCTCTGGAGCCAAGGCAAAAATGTGTGAGCCCGAGGCTAAAAAACTGCGAGCTAGCTCACACTAACTCAGCTTAGAGGGAACACTATAGGAGTGCAGATCTGAGTATTTGAATTGCCTTCAGAAGGTGGAGGGGTGTCCTAAAGGGTGAGGAGGAGGAGAAGAGATTGGATTTATACCCCGCCCTTCACTACCCAAAGGTGTCTCAGAGCGGCTTACAGTCTCCTCTCCCTCCCCCTCCCCACAACAGACACCCTGTGAGCAATGTTCCCTCTAAGCTGCGGAGTCTGGTGAGCAAAAATTCTACTTTGTGAGCTACTGACATTAAAGTTGTGAGCGAACGATTTGGCTACTGCATAAATTAGTTTGTTCTGGAACCATCCTTCCCGAGCTGAGACAAAAATGTGTGAGGCAGAGGCTAAGAAACTGTGAGCTAGCTCACACTAACTCAGCTTAGAGGGAACACTGCCTGTGAGGTAGGTGGGGCTGAGAGAGCTCTCACAGAAACTGCTCTTTTTTCAAGGACAGCTATTGTCAGAACTACGGCTTGCCCAAGGTCATCCAGCAGGTGCAAGTGGAGTGGGGAATCAAACCCGATTCTCCCAGATTAGAGTCAGCGCACTTAACCACTACACCAAACAGGTACAATACATGTTGTAATCAGATTGATTAGAGTAGTGGTGAGAACTAAAAACCTTAAGTTTGCTCCATCCAGTTACCTTTCTTCGTTAGAACTCCCAAAGCACCGCAGAGCTTTCGCTTTCGATTCAATGTTCTCCCGTCTCCCCTCCTGCAAGGGAGATATGTGCTCATACCCCATACGCAAGCAGACTCTGCTCTTGTAATTCTGGACTGGTCGAGACAATTGAGCACGTTCTTTTATCTTGTCGATCCTATCACGAGATTCGTTCTGAATTCATTTCGTTCTAAACATATGCCAATAATTGTCACTGATCCAGGCAGGAATAATCAGTTTTATTGTACTCTGCTTTTAGCTGATATTTGTAATGAAACTACTGGTAAGGTAGCAAGGTTTTGTGCTATGGCTATCCTAACCAGACAAGAAGAAGAGATTGGATTTATACCCCGCCCTTCACTTGGAGTCTCGGAGCGGCTTACAAACTCCTTTCCCTTCCCCTCCCCACAACAGACACCCTGTGAGGTGGGTGGGGCTGAGAGAGCTCTGACACAAACTGCTCTTTTTCAAGGACAGCTGTGCCAGAGCTTGTGACTGACCCAAGGTCACATCCAGTGTTCCCTCTAAGCTGAGTTAGTGTGAGCTAGCTCAGTTTTTTAGCCTCCATCTCACAGATTTTTGCCTTAGCTCAGGACGGAGGGCTCCAGAGCAAACTAATGTATGCAGTAGCCAAATCGCTTGCTCAGAACTTTAATGCCGGTAGCTCACCAAGTAGAATTTTTGCTCACAAAACTCCACAGCTTAGGGGGAACATTGGTCACATCAGCAGGTGCAAGTGGAGGAGTGGGGACTCAAACCGGGTTCTCCCAGATTAGAGTCCGCACACTTAACCACGACACCAAACTGGAGACTATTACTTCTTAGGAAATTTTAAAATCCATGTTGTCCTAACTAAAAATTTTATCTGTATCAACGGTCTGGCTGTATTTTTGCTGTTAACTGTATGTAACGTTTTAAGGTATTTGCTGATCTTTGATTGTAAGAAATCAGATTGACTGATGGATTGATCAGAGCAGAGGGGAAGTGCTTGGGGCCAGAAAATTAGCATCTGTAATGAGATAAGAATCCTTGGTGGTGGTGGGTGTCCATTGTTCTCAACTTGTGAATGAGCGCAAGTCCAGCAATGTAGCACTGCAGTTTCCCCTCAAAGTTCCTTTGCTTGAGAACTGTATGTAGGATCCTGTTACGTCATTTTGCACGACTTAATGTGTCACGTCGATACCTTTGCTCTGCTTCAGTTCTTTCAGGCCGGTTCCGGACTTCTACGATCCGGATGCATTGCTTATTGAATGTCCCGTTTTGTTGACTGTACTCCCTGGATTGGGTTTTTGCGCTCGGTTCTGTGAAAATGGGTGTCCTTCAGCTTCACTTCAGTCTCACCTGCTATGCATCATACACCACCGGTGACCACTGCATATGGTCTGAGATCGGAATGGGCCCACGGCAACTTCTGCATCCGGACTTCATCAGATGATGAAGAAGAGGAGATTGGATTTATACCCCGCCCTTCATTCAGAGTCTCAGAGCGGCTTACAAACTCCTTTCCCTTCCCCTCCCCACAACAGACACCCTGTGAGGTAGGCGGGGCTGAGAGAGCTCTTTCAAGGACGGCTCCTGAGAGAACAGCTCTGAAACAACTTGTGACTGACCCAAGGCCACACCAGCCGGCTCCATGGGGAGGAGTGGGGAATCAAACTCGATCCTCCCAGATTAGAGTCCGCGCACTTAACCATGACACCAAACTAGGAGAGCTCTCTCAGGCCCACCTACCTCCTTCGGGTAGTGAAAAGCGGGGTATAAAAAGCAACTCTTCTTCTCGGTGTAGTGGTTAAGAGCAGCGGACTCTAATCTGGAGAACTGGGTTTGATTCCCCACCTCTCCACATGCAGCCAGCTGGGTGACCTTGGGTCAGTCACAGTTCTCCCAGAGCTCTCAGCTCCACCTACGTCATAGGGTGGTCTGTTGTGGGGAGAGGAAAGGAAGGAAACTGTAATCCATTCCGAGACTCCAAGTGAAGGGCAGGGTATAAATCCAATCTCTTCTTCATCATCTGATACACAAGTTGCGTGGGCCCATACCCACCTTAGACAATATGCAGGGGTCACCTGGGAGGCAGGTGGGGCTGAGAGAGCGCTTTCCAGAACTGCCCTTGAGAGAACAGCTTGGAGAGAACTTGTGACTGACCCAGAGTCACACCAGCAGCTGCACGTGGAGGAGGAGTGGGGGAATCAAACCCGCTTTCCCCAGATTAGAATTCGCGCTCTTAACCGCTACACCGAACTGGCTTTGAAGCCAGACCGGTATTCCATCTCGTTCTGTGCAGCACGATCGAGATGGGTGGCCGTGTCAGTCTGTCTGTAGCAGCAGAAAAAGAGTCCAGCAACACCTTAAGGACTAAGAAGGTCTCTGGCAGGGCAGGAGCTTTCGTGAGTCACGGCTCGCTCCTTCAGCGTGGAAAACACTCAACTGGAGATTTCTTCCCAGGGCACAAAGAACCAGAGGTGGGGAGTTTCTCTACCCCAGGCAAACACGGCGAGCGCATGAGAAGATTCTTCTTTTTTTTTTTATTGCAGCAAGCGACACACGAGCTGGTTCGGTCTCACAGGATGACACAGAGAGATGTAAGAGAGAAGCAAAGGCCTCCGAACGCTCTACGTCCTCGGCCTCTCCCGCGGAGGCCCCTGGACTTGCAAAAGGGGGGAAAGGTTGTTCCTGTTCCCTGAAACCCACAAATTTGCTGTGGGGGGGGGGGGGGGAGAGAAATAAAGGAGGATCGGAGGAGGACAGTGTGGTCAAGGGGGGGTGTCTGTACAAGGACCGGTTGCATCAGTCTAGAGGCGATCCCACTTAACGAAAATAAAACCCGCAAGACACGCGCACAGAGTTGTTCTCCGTCCCCCTCTCTACACCTCCAGCAGCTTGCCGAGGAAGCGGAGGTTGAGGATCTTGAGCTGTTCTTCCAAGTCCATGCGGACGATGCCGTCCTCCCCGTCGATGCTCAGCAGCTCGCCCATGGCCTCTCGGTCCTCTCCCAGGATGACCTTGACCTGTAGGGGAGAGGGAAAAGCTGAGTGACGGAGACGAAGGAGAAGGGGAGGGGGAGCCAGTCACAAAGACGGGAAGCAAGGATGTCGCGATGGCCACAGGATTAAACTGTTTTAAAGGGGATTCGATAGAGTCATGGAGGAGAAGTCTATCAATGGCTACCAGCCATTGTGACTGAGGGCACTAATCCTCGGAATCCCAAAGCCAGGAGGGCAGCATCAGGAGAAGGCCTCGTCCTCCCTGTCCTGTTGGTGGCCGTCCAGAGGACTTGGCTGGCCACTGTGTGAGTCAGGATGCTGGACCAGGTGGACCCTCACTGGTCTGACCCAGCAGGGCTCTTCTGATGTTCTTATGAAGGCCTTGGCCTCTCTGTCCTGTTGTTGGCCCTTCAGAGGACCTGGCTGGCCACTGTGTGAGGAAGGATGCTGGACTAGGTGAACCCTCACTGGTCTGACCCAGCAGGGCTCTTCTTGGGTTCCTATCAGGGGAAGGCCTCAGCTTCTCTGCGCTGTTGTTGGCCGTCCAGAGGAACTGGCTGGCCCGTGAGAGACGGGATGCTGGACTAGAGGGACCCTCACTGGTCTGACCCAGCAGGGGTCTTCTGAGGTTCCTATCAGGGGAAGGCCTCGGCCTCTCTGCCCTGTTGTTGGCCCTCCAGAGGAACTGGTTGGCCACTGTGTGAGACAGGATGCTGGACTAGAGGGACTCTCATTGGTCTGATCCCACAGGGCTCTTCTGATATTCTTATGAAGGCCTCAGCCTCTCTGCCCTGTTGTTGGCCCTCCAGAGGAACTGGTTGGCCACTGTGTGAGAGAGAATGCTGGACTAGATGGACCCTCCCTGGTCTGACCCAGCAGGGCTCTTCTGATGTTCTTATGAAGGCCTCAGCCTCTATGCCCTGCTGCTGGCTCTCCAGAGGGACTGGTTGGCCCCTGTGTGAGGCAGGATGCTGAGCTAGATGGACCCTCACTGGTCTGACCCAGCTGGGCTGTTCTGATGTCCTTATGAAGGCCTTGGCGTCTCTGCCCTGTTTTTGGCCCTCCAGAGGCACTGGATGGCCTCTGTGTGGGACAGGATGCTGGACCAGATGGACCCTCACTGGACTGATGAAGCAGGGCTCTTTTGATGTTCTTATCAGGGGAAGGCCTCGGCCTCTGTGCCCTGTTGTTGGCCCTTCTGCCAGCCAGTAAAAATCGGATTTGCTGTAAATTTATGTATTTAGCTCAGTCTGACAAATGTCACATCTGATTTTTGATGGGTGCTTCTCCCCTGGAACCGTAGGATTAGCTAGTTACCTGTACCCCCTTACCTAATAAAAAGAGTCATGCTTTATTTTAAGTAAGATGATTAGACTCAATAAAGTGCTCAGTTCCTCTGGCGGACCAGCAGAGGCAGAGACTCTTTAATATTTTGTTTGTTCTTCACAAGCGGCGCGAGGGCGACGTTTCCCCCAGGAGGACTGCAGCAGAAATGCTGCCCAGACAGACGGAGCCCATCTTGCCGGTTCTCTCAACGCACCTTGTTGTTCTTGGTCGGAGTGACCGGCTCCAGGTGCTCGCTGGAGATGCTGACCACCTTCTCACTGTCCTTCAGGTAGACGGAGCACATTCCACCCTGGGGAGCGGAGAGGGGGAGACGGAATTAGTCAGCGGCAAAGGCCAGAGCTCTGGCCAGCAAGGCTGGTTCCGGAGGCAGGGGAAGAATTCCTCCCTGGGCGATCCTGGACCGTCAACTGCCTTCTAGTTATCCTCACAAACGTGAGAGTTGCGAGGGCATGGGAGACACAAAGCTACCAGGATGCCCAAAAGGCTATAGAAGGGAGTGGGGAAATATATTGGGTTGGATGTCGAGGAAAGCCCCTCGCGTTGGGGGGAAAAGCGCTGCTGGTCGTGGAATGGTTCAGTGGGATCCAACCTGCTGGCTGAAAAAGGCCGATGAGGCACCCAGTAAAATCTTCAGGTGCCACCGGAGCATTCTGAAGGGGAGGGACCCTGGCTCAATGGGAGAGCCCCTGGAGAGCTGTCGAGAGGGGCTGTGGCTCAGTGGCAGAGCCTCTGCCTGGCATGCAGAAGGCCCCAGGTTCAATCCCCGGCATCTCCAGTTAAAAAGGCACCAGGAGGGGGGTGGTGTGAAAGGCCTCTGCCGGGGACTCTGGAGAGCCGCTGCCAGTCTGAGTAGACAGTTAGGGGCTTTGATGGACCAAGGGGGGGGGGGTCTGATTTAGTCTAAAGCAGCTTCATGTGTAAAACTGGACCCCCCCCCCACATCACTGAAGCACCTGCATTTAAATTTCGGAGGGTTGGAGGAAATTAAAGCGGGTTGGGGGTCAATGTTCCCTCTAGGCTGTGGAGTCCTGTGAGCAAAAATTCTACTTTGTGAGCTACTGGCATTAAAGTTGTGAGCGAGCCATTTGGCTACTGCATAAATCAGTTTCCTCTGGAGCCACCCTTCCTGAGCTAAGACAAAAATGTGTGAGCTGGAGGCTAAAAAATTGTGAGCTAGCTCACACTAACTCAGCTTAGAGGGAACACTGGAGCCATCCCTTCCTGAGCTAAGACAAAAATGTGTGAGCTGGAGGCTAAAAAATTGTGAGCTAGCTCACACTAACTCAGCTTAGAGGGAACACTGGTTGGGGTTCCAGAAGAAGCCTTTCTTCTCGACTTAGCAGCTCTAGTGTTCTCAACCAAGAATTAACAGAGACAGATCCATCTGCTTATCTGCTTTGGGGGGGGGGGGGGGATAGCGGTTGAACCTCTTTCCTTTCAAGAAACACAATCCAGGGAAGGCGGCCTCTCTGTTGCACGCACAAAAAAGGCTGGATCTGTAAGCCTGAGCCAGCGGGAAAGAAAAACGAGTCCGGTTTGATCAAGGACGCCCAACTGGTGCCTGAGACCTGGATGGGACTTCTTCCAAGAGGGGCGGGCCCCATTCTTACAGGCTCTCACCGCTGCCAATCAATCTTCCCTCCCCTTTCCAGCCAACCCACGCTGACCGGGACAACCCTGCGTCTACTCACGGTCACGCTACGGATGACTCCCGTCTGCCCCACGACCTGGCTGTCCAAGTAAGTGTCGCGGACGATGACCTGGATGTCTGTGGTGACCCAGTCGCTGGAACTCTGCTCGATGCCGGAGCCCGGGGTGTGGGGGTTGTAGCCGCCCGGAGAGGGAGCCCCCGGGGTCATGGGGCTGTAGCCCACGGGGCTCGGGCTGGGGCTTGCCTGGAGCAAGGGGGAAAGGTGGAAGAGAATGTGTGAGACGGGATGCTGGCCTAGAGATGGACCCTCACTGGTTTGGTCCAGCAGGGCTCTTCTGATGTTCCTATCAAGGGAAGGCCTCGGCCTCTCTGCCCTGTTGCTGGCCCTCCACAGGAACTGGTTGGCCACTGTGTGAGGCAGGAGGCTGGACTAGATGGACCCTCCCTGGTCTGATCCAGCAGGGCTCCTTCAATGTTCTTATGAAGGCCTCAGGCTCTCTGCCCTGCTGTCGGCCCTCCAGAGGAACTGAAGGAAAACTGTGAGGCAGGATGCTGGACTAGATGGACCCTCACTGGTCTGACCCAGCAGGGCTCTTCTGATGTTCTTATGAAGGCCTCAGCCTCCATGTCCTGTTATTGGTCCTCCAGAGGACCTGGCTGGCCGCTGTGAGACGGGATGCTGGACTAGATGGACCCTCACTGGTCTGGTCCAGCAGGGCTCTTTTGATGTTCTTATCAGGGGAAGGCCTCGGCCTCTCTGCCCTGTTATTGGCCCTCCAGAGGACCTGGCTGGCCACTGTGAGACGGGATGCTGAACTAGATGGGTCTAGATCTGTGGTATGACAAACTCTGGATGCAGTTCATTATGGGGGAAATAGCAAATGGAATAGCTAATCATTCAAACGAAGACTATCAAACAACTTTTGTGTGTAAATGGTCCCCAGTAATTCAGTTCCTTTCAGAAAACGAAGTAGTTCCCTCTGTCGTGAAAGACCAACTTTAGCTCTGTTTCTGATTATATTGCTTCAATCATTGTTAACACACTGAGGCTACCAACCACTATATAGGCTGATGTATGCAAAAAGATATATAACACGCATGTGTTCTCAATTCATGCTAGTGGATTGTGTTAACAAAGCAAATCCAATTTTATTTTGTTCATTATATTTCTGTTATGTTTTTTTCGCTGTTCTATGTTACATGTTTAAAATAAAATAAAAATTAAGAAACCTAGATGGGCCTGATCCAGGAGGGCACTTCTGATGTTCTTGCGTTCTCTGCTCAGGGCAACGTTCTGACCACCCGCGTGCAGCTCCCTTCTTCTTCATGGACCAGAGGAAATGTTCTTAGAACACGCCCCCTCCCTCTCCCCCAGTCTCAGGACCAGTCAGCTCACAACACTGACCGGTGGGAAGGTCTTACTTTAGTTGGATCTGGAGAACCTGTGTTTGGTTTCATATATGGTTAGCAGTAGAGCTGAATTTGCCCACTGACAGCTTCAAAAGGGAATTAGATAGGCATATGGAGCAGAGGTATAGATAGGGACTCTGGGGCAAGTGATGCTCTGTCTTCTTGGTGCTTGGGGGGGGGGGTCAACAGTGGGAGGGCTTCTAGTGTCCTGGCCCCACTGCTGGACCTCCTGATGGCACCTGGTATTTTTGGCCACTGTGTGATACAGAGTGTTGGACTGGATGGGCCTTTGGCCTGATCCAACATTGGCGTCTCTTATGTTCTTATGACCCTTCCCTTCAGTTACTGCATCAGCTGCAGCTGAATCTTCCGCAGTGCCTATGGGGATTTTGCCTTCCATTTCCTGACAGCACCCCCTCCGCCCCGTCTTCCATCTCCAGGCCTCCTTCTAACAACAGAGCCATTACAGACAATCAAGTATGCACACTGCCGAGTCTGAAAATGGCTCATCGAACGTCAGAAGAAACAGCCGGCTCTTGCCGGGTCTGGGATTCCCTAGCAGGCAACGCAGTGTTTCGGGTTGCGACGAGATCCCTCTGCGTAACAGGTTTTCCAGTAGTACCTGGTAGGCCATAGGCGATGGTGTTGGGTGGTAGCTGGCTGGCGAGTGGGTGTTCTGGTAGCCTACAGGACTCGGTGCCACTTGATGGAAACTCTGAGGGCTGGGGCTGGGCTGGTAGGAGCCCTGAGGGGACGGGACGGCGTACGGAGAAAACTGGTCTGTGTTGTACCTGCAGTGGGGAAGAGAGAGAGAAGCGAAACCGGTCAGCAGACCGAGGAATGGCGAAGAGCAGTGGAGTAACCCTGATTCGGTAGCAGCAATGCAGGAGTCGGTTGTAGTATGAATGGGAATATAAAGATTTTTATATATAGGTTTTTTCCTTCTTGATTGTTCATATTCATATTTCCCCGGTTTTTATAGATTTATTCTTTAAGTAATATTTTACTAGGATGTTAGAAAGGTCTGCTAGATAGAAGGCTTTCCTCTTGTAGGTCTGATATTGTTAGCAGACAACATAATAGGTACAAAGTTCATGATTCTGTAGTTCTTAGGGCAAACCTTTCAATGTCTGGGTCAGATAAGATTTTAGTCTCCTATCAGTAATGAATACTTTTGTTTGGGATATGAAGAATTCCTGCCCATTATCATTTAGGTTAGGTTAAGTAAACACTTAGTTTGACGTAGATATATGTTTCTTTATATCTGGCCGATCAGAGGATTATTACTCAAATTACCACTGTCTTTTATAACCTGAGCCTTCGGGGAGGGCGGGATATAAATCCAAAAATAAATAAATAAATAAACCAATTATGCTGTTTGAATATTGTTTTCTCGATGATGTCAGTCCATGTATAAAATTTCGTGTATTTCCTGAATATGTTCAGAATATGTTCACGGAGAAGATGAAGAAGAAAAAGAAGAAAGTTGTCAATTTTGGATGGACTATTTGGTCTAATTGTTTTCCTGTTAATTGAAGCATATTTCCTGAATATGCTGAGAAGAAAGTAGTCAATTTTGGATGGACTATTTGGTCCAATTGTTTTCCTGTTAATTGAAATAAAACATAGATCTTCCTCCTCATTTGACTTCATTTTTGACATGGAATCTAATATGTACAACACTGTTTCTCCTAAAGATACCAGTTTAAATCCACGACGATAGATTCAGGTGGGGGTCGCCGTGTCGGTCTCAAGCAACAAAATGAAGCTTGAGTCCAGCGGGGCACCTTTAAGGCCAACAAAGTTTAATTCTGGGTAGAAGCTTTCATGTGCATGCACACAAACACTTATACTGAGAATTAAACTTGTTGGTCTTGAAGGTGCCGCTAGACTCACTTTGTTCAGTTTAAATGCACGACGCCGGTAACTTAATGGACTCTAAGAAAGCGAAACCCTCCACTTTTGACCACTCAACAGTAGTGTCAAATTTAAAACTGAGCTGGCTCAGTAGAGAAGAGGAGAAGAGATTGGATTTATACCCCGCCCTTCACTACCTGAAGGAGTCTCAAAGCGGCTTACAAACTCCTTTCCCTTCCCCTCCCCACAGCAGACACCCTGTGAGGCAGGTGGGGCTGAGAGAGCTCTCTCTCGAGGACTGCCCTGGAGAGAACAGCTCTGACAGAACTACGGCTTGCCCAACGTCATCGGAGATCTTTCAACATCACCTGCTGCCTGGTGCTTTTAATTGGAGATGCCGGGGATTGAACCTGGGACCGTCTGCCTGCCGAGCAGAGGCTCTACCACTGAGCCACGACCCCTCTTGACAGCTCTCCAGGGCCTCAGACGGAGGTCTTTCAACATCACCTGCTGCCTGGTGCTTTTAACTGGAGATGCCGGGGATTGAACCTGGGACCTCCTGCCTGCCAAACAGAGGCTCTTCCACTGAGCCACAGCCACCCTTCCTAAAAACTGAGATGAGAGTAAAAGGGAAGCTACAACGACCCCAGAGGGTTTTCAAGGGAAGAGATTCCAGAGGTGGTTTGCCACTGCCTGCCTCTGCATAGCAACCTGTCAGCTCGGCCGCTGCCATAGCTGGTGGAGGAGGGAGGAGGTGATGGATGGGACTGTTGCTGTAATGGAATCCTAACTTTCGTTTTCTTCCCAGCTCCTCTGATCTGCTAGCCTAAGCCGGTGACCTTGGTACCTTGTTGCTGCTTTCTCTGAGAATGTAGACCCATTAGGTTGGGCGGGCGTTTGCCAGTTCCCTGATTGGCCCAGGTTACTGTTCGCCTACTCAGGGAAATGTTGAGGGGTTAATGTTTATATCCTGTTTTACAAAGTGTATGCGTATTCCTCCATTTTAACATACTTCACCTGTATTGTTACTTGTTCTTTGTAAATTATTAATAAGATGTTAATTGCAGAAGGAAGGAAGGAAGGAAGGAAGGAAGGAAGGAAGGAAGGAAGGGGAAGAGATTTTGGGGAGGCCCCCCACATCCCTTCCACCCGTGGTACACTCACATGGCCGGGGTGCCGGGCGTCTGAGGGTTGTACGGCGGATTAACCTGCGGGGAAGACGGATCGGGATAGCCCGGGGTCTGTGGGTTGGGCGTCCCCCCATAGCCTTGCGGAGACGGGGTGGGCTCGTCGTCAAAGCCGTAGTCAAACTCTTCGTCAGCTCTGTGGAAGAGACGGGATGAGAGAGACCGAAGAACTCGGGCCGTCCGTGGGCACCTCCCCTCCCATCAACATCTGCGTCGACCTTGAGCTTCTGAGCCCCTCTGCCCCGCCCCTCCGCTGAGTGGCACCAACCTGGAGGGGGTGTTCGGGTTATTGGGGTCCCAAGCCCCGCTCTGCGCGGGGGTCCGGCTGCCGTCGTGCAAGGGCGTCTGAGAGCCGTAGTGAGGAGTCCGGTTGCCTGGAAGACGGCGCATGGTTAAAACCTCGAAACGTGGGTTTGCGCTAGCAGCTGTTTCAGTGCTTTGCCAACTTTTACTGAAGAGCAGTATGAAAACACAGTAATTTAGAAAAATAACACAGATGTCCTATGTGCCTGCAGATCTGAAGCAGGTGTAGAACTCTGAAAGGGACCGAGCCACTGAATGGAGAAACCCATTACCGGAGGCTCAGAAACCTGTCCTTCCTGTCAACCAAGGACAGTTGACAGGAGGAAACCTCTGCACCCTAGGGGGTGGAGTTGACTGGTTTGAAGTGAGACAGAGAGTTCAGAGCGTGTAGGGGGAGAGAGCTACGTGAGTTGCCGTGGAGACCGTGAGGATTCTGTGTCCTCTGTGGAAGTTATTAGCCTAAGTGACCAGTAGGAAAATAAGTTTTTACGGCTAGGTCTATTTAGAGAAAGAAGAACTGTGCCTATCTGAAACCATTACGTTTATGACCTTTACTGAAACCGCTACACTTCATTCATTTCTTCAATTCCTGTCCCCTAGGCAAGTAGGAAAATAAGCTTTTACGGCTAGGTCTAGTTAGAGAAAGAAGAACTGTGCCTATCTGAAACCATTACGTTTATGACCTTTACTGAAACCGCTACACTTCATTCATTTCTTCAATTCCTGTCCCGCCATCCCCGCAAGCTTCTAAATAAACTCTATTTGTGTTCAAGAGAAAACCACTGTTTTATTTAGTGTAAAGGATCCCCTTTTACCTCAGAGCCACACACTGACGGTTCTGCCACTCTACTAAATGAAACGAAGCCATCCTGTTCTTCCGGTCCAACTAGAGAGCCTCTGATGGCAGCAAAATTAAGCTGAAAATGTTACGGAGGGCCAGGGGACAGCATCACACACCTCACGGCACATTACAGAGAGGTGCCTTTACATAAAAGGAGGTTTCAGAAAAGAGCAAAACCTTACAGGTTTGTGGGGTGAGGGAAGCTCCTGATCGCTCCCCCCGTACCTACAACTGTGCAAACGGCTTGTTCTTTAACATGGATACGCTTGATTGACTGAATTTGTCCAAGTTGCTGGATTCAGCCCCTCTCCTCCTTCTTCTGAGGGCTCGACAGACACTGAGCAGCCTCAGGGTGCAGGAAACAATCAAAGGCTTTCTCACTTCAAAAAGGATGTGGACAGAATGGGGCGGGTGCAGAGGAGAGCAACGAGGATGATCGGGGGCCTGGAGACCAAGAAGTCCTATGAAGAAAGGCTGAGGGACTTGGGAGCGTTCAGTCTGGAGAAGGTTTTTTGGGAGGGGGGGCATGATCGCTCTCTTGAAGAATTTGAAAGGCTGCCACTTAGAGGAGGGCAGGGAGCTGTTCCTGTGGGCAGCAGAGGAGAGGACTCGCAAAACAGATGCTTTGCGACCCCTGTTGGAGCAAATGAAGACGCTCGACGAAACTTTTGCTGCACAACAATAGCAACTAAGTGAGAACATTAAAGAAAACAGAGCAAACAGCCGAGAACCTTAAAGAAGTGGATGCCAACACTAAAAAGCTTAAAAAACAAATGCAGGAGATGGAAAAGAAGAGAAACTCAGATGAAGCCCAGCTTCTACAGCTGCAAATGGAAAAGGCAAGCTTTATTCTGAGATTTCAAGGAGTTCCTGAGATTAAAGGGGAGAATCTAAAGCAGATCATGATTGATTCCTTGGGGCCGGTTGCAGATTTAAAAGCGGATGTTCTTCAAAGCGAGGTGGATGTGATCTATAGATCATATTCAGAATTTATCAAAAAAAATAATCTGCCCGGCGAGGTGGTGGTTAGATTCTCCAGAAGACAAGTGAGAGATCAGATTTTAAAGTAGGGGAGCGGTGGCACAGGGGATTTATCCTCTGGTTACAAGTAACATCTGAGCTGAACAGGACTGCTATCAGTTCTAGCCCCGCACTGGTGTGAGCTACCAGCCTTGTCCCCAGCTCGCCGTCCACCCAGAGGTTCGAAAGCTTCGGTGAGTAGATAAAATGGGTACCACTCCTTAGAGCGGGTGGGCACACCAAAACTCCCCGGTGGGGGAGGTGTTAGCCGGCGAATGGAAGGTTTGGCTCGCAAGATCGAAAGCCTAGAAGATCTCTTGGGCATCAAGAAGCCTGTAATGGGCCGTTCCGGCCAGGCAGTGGCAGTATGGAGCTGCGACCTGAAGAGTCCTGGAGAGGAACAGCTGACGTCATCCAGCCAAGCCAAGCTGAGTGGGGAAAATGTCGTCCGGATCACGTCTGACTTGCAACTGAACAAATCCCCGTTGGCTGCAAAACGTGTGCTACGTAAAGATTATATGTGTTGTCCTCCCTTACCCCTATAAAGCATTGTTAGTTCCTTGTGAAATGAGTAACTGTAAATCGCTCAGAGCCAGCAGCTCTGCAAGGATTGAGCGATCAATAAATTGAAAGATTATTATTATTGTTATTAAAGGCAACAAATGGAACCACCCTTAAAATTGATGGCAAGAAGTGTTTTGAAAGACATTCCCTTTGAAATAAGAAAGAAGAGGGAAAAATACAGAGACTTGGCTTTGTTTTTACAAAAGAATAACAACCCCTACAAATGGATTATACCTGAAGGGATACTGTTTAAATTTAAAGACAAGAGGGGAAAAATTGAGTCTGTTATGAAAGCGAGTGCGTTCTTGCAGCAGCAGCTTGGACCACCAGAGGAAGAAGATGAGGAGAGTCACAAGGGAAGTGACGATGAAACACCTACTGGAGAGGACTCGGATTCGGAACTTGGGGCGGCGGCCCCTAAGCAAGGATATCGTTTGAGGGAAAGAAAAAACAAAAAATGAGATGCTGATTTTTTCCTGAGGTCTGTTTCTTAATAATATATAAGAGTTCTTTTGTATTGTTCTTTAAGAAGTCAGAAGTCCTGGACTTGAAACATACAAGCGGATATAACGATCACATTTAATGTAACCAATCTTGTTAGTTTTACTATAAGCGTGGTATTGCAACCATTATATGACCACCACCTCTTGGGTTTTTTGTGGTTTTTCTTTACTTTCTCCTGTAGTTTATAGTTCCCCTTCCCAATTTTCTTGTACTGTTTTAGAAAATAAAAACACTTTAAAAAATAAAAATAAAAAAGGAGAGGACTCGCAAGAATGGGTTTGAATTAAGGCTGGAAAGTTAGGGGGAAAGTTTTTTACGGTAAGAGTAGCCCAGCAGTGGGATTGGCTGCCTAGGGAGGTGGTGAGCTCCCCCCACCCTGGTAGTCTTCAAGGAACAGCCAGAGGAACGCTTGCCAGGGATACTCTAGCCTGATCCTGCCTTGAGCAGGGGGTTGGACTGGATGGCCTGTAGGACCCCTTTCAGCAATACGATTCTTAGTATCTACCTCCTCCTCCCCCCTGTCTTGCTAACAGGCACCTTCCCCAGTAGCTTTCCCCACAGGAAGGTCATCTAGTGACTCCTTCCCTCCCCCACCGAACAGGAGCTCCTCCCACTCACCGTCATGCAACGGAGTCTGCGAGCCGTACATTGGGGTGCGGGACCCGGAGCCGTACATGGGAGTCTGAGAGCCGTACATAGGGGTGCGCCCGTAGGCTGAGGTCATGCCGTCCGGCCTCTTCGAGCCGCTGTTGAAAAGAGAAAGAAGCCCTGGGTTAAAGCTGGTGCCCCCCACCCCGAAAACCAAGTGAACTTCGGGTTACCCTGAAGAAAAGTCCACAAGCCCCGCCTCTGCGTACGCGGATCTTGGGGGAGTGAGAAGGATACAAAAATAACGTGCAGGCAGATCCCCAATAACTGGAGGTGGATCTCTAGCCCTCCTGCTGGCTCTTACACTGTGGTGAGACGCTGCCGGTCCACGGAGATCGTCTGGCAGGTGGAGTGCAGTTCCACACGGGCGGTGGACTCCGTGGCATCCTTGACCACACCGATATAGCCTGGAAGAGAGCAGAGCGCCGGTCAGCCAGCAGGATGCCGAAGGGGCGGAGAAGAAGAAAAGGCCCCACAGACTGAAATCTTCCCACTGGATTGTTGGGAAACCAAATCCCTAAACCACATGGAGTCTCTCGAGAGCCGAAGAGGGCATCTCGGAGCATGTCGACGCTGTGAAATGGAAACCAGGTGAACTGTGGCTCCGTGAGAAAAGAATCTGCTCTGAATGCAGACGATCCCAGCCTCTCCACCTAGAAGGTATGCAAGCCCCTTGGCCTGAAACCCCACAGAGGGGCTGCTATTCAGCAGAAAGCAGGCTGACCACAGCGTGACTCAAGATTAGGCACCTTCATGCCGACTCTGCACTGCGATGGAAGTCAGCGGCCAGCGATTAACACAGAGACTAAGGGGGCAAACTAGAGTGGCAAGCTCCGGGTTGGGAAATATCTGGAGATTTGGGGGGTGGGGCCTGGGGAGGGCGGGGTTTGGGGAGGGAAGGGGCCTCGGCAGGGCGTGATGCCGTAGTGGTTAGGAGGGCCAGTCTGGTGTCGAACAGCTCCGAGAGAACTTGTGACTGACCCAAGGTCACACCAGCAGCTGCATGTGGAGTGCGGACTCTAATCTGGGAGAACCAGGTTTGATTCCACGCTCCTCCACATGCAGCTGCTGGCGCAACCTTGGGTCAGTGACAAGTTCTCTCGGACCTGTTCTCTCAGGAGCAGTCCTCGAAAGAGCTCTCTCAGCCCCGCCGACCTCACTGGTGTAAGCTGCTCTGAGAATCCTTCAGGTAGTGAAGGGCAGGGTATAAATCCAATCTCTTCTTCTTCATAGAGCCCACCCTCCAAAGCAGCCATTTTCTCCGAGGGAGCAACAGTAATAGCCAGAGATCTCCAGCCACCACCTGGAGATTCAGACAACAAATATATTCACTGCAAAAACCTTATTTATAAGTTAAAGTGTTCTATATGTTCCATCTTATAAAGTGCATTGCGTATTATTCATAATATTCTAAAACAGGTATATTCATTGCATGCAATATCAACAATAATAATCAGTTTGTACGATCTAATAGCTACCAGTCAATTTACATCCTTTTTACACAATCAACCCCAACGGGAGTTTCTAGACTTGTACACCCGCTTTTCCTTGCTTGTAAGTCTTCTAAAGGGGGAAGTTTCCTTTTGTGGTTACATTGTTTAAATTGATGTTTGTTGCTGGTCCTACAAAAGGCCCATTAAGCAGCTGACAATCATAGATGGAGCGCTCCTGTCTTTCTCAATAGTAAACTGACTGATAGCTATTAGATTGTACAAACTGATTATTATTATTGATATTGCATGTAAGGAATATATATACCTGTTTTAGAATATTATGAATAATAATGCCCTTTATAAGATGGAACATATAGAACACTTTAACTCATAAGTTTTTTGCACTGTATATATTTGTTGTTTGACTGTTTTAACACTGCAGCTCGAGTTTCCACCACCTGGAGGTTGGCAACCTGAAGCCAAACCCAGAACCACTGCCTCTCACCCACCCACCCTGCGCAGGCCGCCTGCACTCTCTGAGAGGGGCAAGCGATAATATAAACCACCTCTACAGGGTAATCCCACCTCTCTTCCAAAGAGTCCGGGGGCAGGTGTACGTGCTCCTCCCCCTCGGCCCATTTTATTTCCACGACGCCACTGCGACGTAGGCCAGGTGGAGAGAGAATGACTGTCCCAAGGCCACCCAGTGAACGTCTCAGCTCGGGAGGAATTTGTCCGCAGATCTCCCTGGTCTTATGGTCCTGCACTCTAGCCCCCGCCCTGGTTCTCAGGGGTGCCTGGCTAATGCCCACGCCCTCCCCGCAAAGGAGGCGGCCTTACCTTTGTAGGGCCCTTGCGAAATCCGCACGGTCTGCCCAATGAGGTCGTTGTCTCTGCGCCCACGGCCCCGGCTCATCCCGCCCCCTCCAAAGCCACCGTGTTGACCTGCAGGGGCGAGGAGGAGGGTGTAGCGAATTAGAACAGATCTGGGCCAGTCTAAGCTGAGTTAGCGTGAGCTAGCTCACAGTTTTCTAGCCTCCAGCTCACAGCTGTCTTAGCTTGCGAAGGAGGGCTCCAGAGCAAACACATTTATGCAGCAGCCAAATCGCTCAGTCACAACTTTAATGCCAGCAGCTCGCCAAGTAGACTGTTTGCTCACAGGACTCCACAGCTTAGAGGGAGCACTGATCTGGGCCCATCTGCTCACTATCTCCCAAAGGTGCTCCGAGCACAAGATAAAAGGCCCAAATCATGATCTCGACAGAACATCAGTCTGCTGTTCCCCAAGAATGCCCCCGGAAGCCTGGAACTGGGAAATATCCCTTCTCAACCAGCAGCAGGCCCACAACTACGGCGGGGCCTTGGGGGGGGGGCTCTGCCCCCTTGCTCAAAGGCACAGCCCCACAAGAATTTCTCCTGCAAATGCTTTCCCCTCCAACCATTTTAAAACATTTTTTTAAAGGTATGCTCTCCTTTAAGCCGAATGGAGTGCTGTGCTTGACTAATTCCCGCATCGAGCAAGGGGGTTGGAGTAGGTGACCTCTAGGGTCCCTTCTAACTCTGTGTCAAGAAACCGGTCTCCTTTCAGAGAGTTTTCCTGCCTCCTAAGTGTTAGCTTTCTCGACTATAGAAGTCATCAGTCCCACCTGCTGGCTTGTTCTCAGGAGTGTTGCTTCGGCTGGCGGAAGTGATTCACTTGCACCAGCTGAGAACTGTCATCTAAAGTGACTGAAAGCTTGCAATTTAGGGATCTAGACTGCTAACAGCTTTCGATCGGCTGAACGACTTTTCTTTCTGCACGGAGAGCTTCAGCCCCACCAGCAAAAAAACTGCACCACAAGCCACAAAATCCTAGCTACGGGCTTGGTCGGCAGCAGCAGACAGTCTCCACTTGGGCTGTGCCCAATGCTCCCTCTAAGCTGTGGAGTCTTGTGAGCGACTGGCATTACAATGGTGAGCCAGCGATCTGCTCCGGAGCCCTCCTTCCGGAGCAGAGACAAAAATGTGTGAGCCGGAGGCTGAAAAATTGTGAGCTGGCTCACACTCACTCGGCTTAGAGGGAACCCTGGCTGTGCCATGGGGGGAGGGACGTGCAATTTCATTAAAGGTAAAGGTATCCCCCTTGCTCGAAAGCCAGTCGAATCCGACTCTAGGGTTGCGGTGCTCATCTCCGTTTCAAAGCCGAAGAGGCAGCGCTGTCCGGAGACGTTTCCATGGTCATGTGGCTGGCATGACTAAACACCCAAGGCGCACGGAACGCTGTTACCTTCCCACCGAACTGGTACCTATTTATCTACTTGCAATTTCTTGCTTTCGAACTGCTAGGTTGGCAGGAGCTGGAACTAGAGACGGGAGCTCACTCCGTCTTGCGGCACACTCGGGTCTCGAACTGCCGAACGAACGACCTTCCACAGCCTGCAGTTCAGCGCCTTAACCCCTTGATCCACTGCAGCTCCTGGTACCTACTGATCTACTTGCAATTTCTTGCTTTCAAACTGCTAGGTTGGCAGTTTCATTAGAAATTTCATTAGAGTGCCTTTAATCTCAAGAGCACCAATCACAAGGCATCTTCCAGGAGGGGCCATAAATCAGAAGAATGGCGTGTGCACTTTGTGTGCCGTGGGTCCGAGGTCCGCCGCTCGGTATTCTCAGCTAAAATGACCTGAGGCTGAGACCACACGCAACCCGCCCCCCTCCCCCAACACACACGGCCACCTCCGGACCCACCTCCTGCACTGGGGTGCATGGGGCTGTTGATCCGAGGACTCATGGGTGCGAACCCGCCGATGGTGACGTTCATGACATCCCGGGGCTGCAGGAGGCGGAGGGGAAAGCGGATTACTTCAGAAGGGAAACGGACGGCAAGGGCTCACCCCTCCCCCGGTATGGACCTCTGCCCCGAAAAAGCATCCCACCTTTGAGCCTCCGGCCAGGACCAAGTGGCGTGCCTTGCAGACAAACATGCCTCCGTTCTCCACCAGCTTCTTGCAGTGCAGAAAAACGAAGCCCTGGAAGAGGTGACGGATCTCTCCCTCACGTCCCTGCAAGGAGAGGAGGAGCCAGTCATCAGAACATGCTGGGCTTTTCTACCTTTTCCTACTTAGTGGAGGGGCTGTGGCTCAGCGGCAGAGCCTCTGCTTGGCATGCAGGAGGTCCCAGGTTCAAGCCCCAGCATCTCCAGTTAAAAGGACCAGGCAGGGGGGGATGGGAAAGACCTCCGCCTGAGACCCTGGAGAGCTGCAAAGGGGCGTGTGTGGCTCAGTGGCAGAGCCTCTGCTTGGCATGCAGGAGGTCCCAGGTTCAAGCCCCAGCATCTCCAGTTAAAAGGACCAGGCAGGGGGGGATGGGAAAGACCTCCGCCTGAGACCCTGGAGAGCTGCAAAGGGGCGTGTGTGGCTCAGTGGCAGAGCCTCTGCTTGGCATGCAGGAGGTCCCAGGTTCAAGCCCCAGCATCTCCAGTTAAAAGGACCAGGCAGGGGGGGATGGGAAAGACCTCCGCCTGAGACCCTGGAGAGCTGCAAAGGGGCGTGTGTGGCTCAGTGGCAGAGCCTCTGCTTGGCATGCAGGAGGTCCCAGGTTCAAGCCCCAGCATCTCCAGTTAAAAGGACCAGGCAGGGGGGGATGGGAAAGACCTCCGCCTGAGACCCTGGAGAGCTGCAAAGGGGCGTGTGTGGCTCAGTGGCAGAGCCTCTGCTTGGCATGCAGGAGGTCCCAGGTTCAAGCCCCAGCATCTCCAGTTAAAAGGACCAGGCAGGGGGGGATGGGAAAGACCTCCGCCTGAGACCCTGGAGAGCTGCAAAGGGGCGTGTGTGGCTCAGTGGCAGAGCCTCTGCTTGGCATGCAGGAGGTCCCAGGTTCAAGCCCCAGCATCTCCAGTTAAAAGGACCAGGCAGGGGGGGATGGGAAAGACCTCCGCCTGAGACCCTGGAGAGCTGCAAAGGGGCGTGTGTGGCTCAGTGGCAGAGCCTCTGCTTGGCATGCAGGAGGTCCCAGGTTCAAGCCCCAGCATCTCCAGTTAAAAGGACCAGGCAGGGGGGGATGGGAAAGACCTCCGCCTGAGACCCTGGAGAGCTGCAAAGGGGCGTGTGTGGCTCAGTGGCAGAGCCTCTGCTTGGCATGCAGGAGGTCCCAGGTTCAAGCCCCAGCATCTCCAGTTAAAAGGACCAGGCAGGGGGGGATGGGAAAGACCTCCGCCTGAGACCCTGGAGAGCTGCAAAGGGGCGTGTGTGGCTCAGTGGCAGAGCCTCTGCTTGGCATGCAGGAGGTCCCAGGTTCAAGCCCCAGCATCTCCAGTTAAAAGGACCAGGCAGGGGGGGATGGGAAAGACCTCCGCCTGAGACCCTGGAGAGCTGCAAAGGGGCGTGTGTGGCTCAGTGGCAGAGCCTCTGCTTGGCATGCAGGAGGTCCCAGGTTCAAGCCCCAGCATCTCCAGTTAAAAGGACCAGGCAGGGGGGGATGGGAAAGACCTCCGCCTGAGACCCTGGAGAGCTGCAAAGGGGCGTGTGTGGCTCAGTGGCAGAGCCTCTGCTTGGCATGCAGGAGGTCCCAGGTTCAAGCCCCAGCATCTCCAGTTAAAAGGACCAGGCAGGGGGGGATGGGAAAGACCTCCGCCTGAGACCCTGGAGAGCTGCAAAGGGGCGTGTGTGGCTCAGTGGCAGAGCCTCTGCTTGGCATGCAGGAGGTCCCAGGTTCAAGCCCCAGCATCTCCAGTTAAAAGGACCAGGCAGGGGGGGATGGGAAAGACCTCCGCCTGAGACCCTGGAGAGTCATAAAGAGGGGCTGTGGCTCAGTGGCCAGAGCCTCTGCCTGGCATGCAGAAGGTCCCAGGCTCAATCCCCGGCATCTCCAGTTAAAAAGGACCAGGCAGGAGGGGATGGAAGAGACCTCCACCTGAGACCCTGGAGAGCTGTAAAGAGGGGCCGTGGCTCAGTGGCAGAGCCTCTGCTTGGCATGCAGGAGGTCCCAGGTTCAATCCCCGGCATCTCCAGTTAAAAAGGACCAGGCAGGAGGGGATGGAAGAGACCTCCACCTGAGACCCTGGAGAGCTGTAAAGAGGGGCCGTGGCTCAGTGGCAGAGCCTCTGCTTGGCATGCAGGAGGTCCCAGGTTCAATCCCCGGCATCTCCAGTTAAAAAGGACCAGGCAGGAGGGGATGGAAGAGACCTCCACCTGAGACCCTGGAGAGCTGTAAAGAGGGGCCGTGGCTCAGTGGCAGAGCCTCTGCTTGGCATGCAGGAGGTCCCAGGTTCAATCCCCGGCATCTCCAGTTAAAAAGGACCAGGCAGGAGGGGATGGAAGAGACCTCCACCTGAGACCCTGGAGAGCTGTAAAGAGGAGCTGTGGCTCAGTGGTAAAGCCTCTGCATGGCATGCAGAAGGTCCCAGGTTCAGCCCCCGGCATCTCCAGTTAAAAAGGACCAGGCAGGAGGTGATGGGAAAGACCTCCGCCTGAGACCCTGGAGAGCTATCAAGAGGGGCCGTGGCTCAGGGGAAGAGCAAATGCTTGGCTATGAGCCACAAGGCATAGATAGGGACTCTCGGTCTGGGGCAAGGGATGCTCTGTATTCCTGGTGCAGGGGGGGGGTCAACAGTGGGAGGGCTTCTGGTGTCCTGGCCCCACTGCTGGACCTCCTGAGGGCACCTGGTATTTTTGGCCACTGTGTGGCACAGAGTGTTGGACTGGATGGGCCATTGGCCTGATATCCAACATTGGCTTCTCTTAGGTTCTTATGAAGAGGAAGAGGGAGAGGAGGAAAAAGAAGAGGAGGATGAAGAAGAAGAAGAAGAGGAAGAAGAAGAGAGGACGAGGAGGAGATTGGATTTATACCCTGCCCTTCACTCGGAGTCTCAAGAGAGGTTTACAATCTCCTTTCCCTTCCCCTCCCCGCAACAGACACCCTTCTGTGAGGTAGGTGGGGCTGAGAGAGCTCTTTCAAGGACTGCCCTTGAGAGAACAGCTCTGAGAGAACTTGTGACCGACCCAAAGTCACACCAGCAGCTGCATGTGGAGGAGGAGATGATTGGATTTATACCCTGCCCTTCACTACCCAAAGGTGTCTCAGAGCAGCTTACAAACTCCTTTTCCTTCCCCTCCCCACAACAGACGCCCTGTGAGGTAGGTGGGGCCGAGAGAGCTCTTGACAGAAACGGCTCTTTTTCAAGAACAGCTCTTGTCAGAACTATGGCTTGCCCAAGGTCATCCAGCCAGGTGCAAGTGGAGGAGTGGGGAATCAAACCCGGCTCTCCCAGATTAGAGTCCACGCACTTAACCACTACACCAAATGGGCTCTCTGTGGCCCTCCTCTGCTGAGTCGTCCTTGGTGGTCCCCCCCCACCCGAGTACCGACCCTGGTGAGTTCCCGAGGTCTGACAAGATTGGCCCAAACTGTGCCGCCTTCCCTCCCTCGTCTTGCCTCACGCAGGGCCAAACCGACAGCCCTGAGGTCGAGGGGAGAAGAGCGCGGCGGCGGCCACAGCCCGTGCCATCGGAGGCATGCACCGAGAAGGGGTGGCCCTGGCGTTACAGCGACACCCCGGCGGGGTAGGCTACCTCCACACAAGCGGGGCTCAGAGCCCTGAGAGGCTGGCCCGCTCAGCCCCTCCTCACCGAGTGCGGCCCGTCTATCACTTTCACGATGTCCTTCACGTGGATGTTGTTCTGCTCGGAGTCCAGGGCCACCGCGAACCGGTTGTCCTTCTTCCGGTTCACCGCCTGGTGCCTGACCGTCACCACCTTGCCGTGCTTGTTGAGGACCTGAGGGACGAGAGGAGGCTTGGAGGGAAGGGCGGGGCGAGGAAGGAACCCATAACCAGCCCCATCAGTCTCCAGCTTGGAAACTCATTGGGGGGGGGGGGCACGAGACCCTAACGAGGGGGGCCATGGCTCAGCTTTTGTTTTGCATGCTGAAGGCCCCAGGAACAGTCCCTTCTGCCACCAGGAATGGGAAAGACCTGGCTCAGCCCAAGACCCTGGAGAGCTGCTGCCAGTCCAAGCAAATAAAACCGCCCTAGATCGGGGGTCCCCAACATGGTGCCCGCGGGCGCCCTCCAAGGATTTCGAAAAAGTGAGCTGGGCTAGGTGAGCCTTTTGGCCAGCAAGGCTTCTGATTGGCTGTCGGAAGGGGAAGAAGAGATTGGATTTCTACCCCGCCCATCATTTGGAGTCTCAGAGTGGCTGACAATCCTTCCCCTCCCCACCTGTGAGGTAGGTAGGGCCGAGAGAGCTCTTTCGGGGTCTGCTCGTGAGAGAACAGCTCTGACAGAACTTGTGACTGACCCAAGGTCACACCGGCAGCTGTGTGTGGAGGAGTGGGGAATCAAACCCCGGTTCTCCCAGATAAGAACCCGTGCTCCTAACTACTACACCAAACTGGCTCTCACTGCCTTAAGGAAAAAGAGGCCCGCTTCTAATGTGAGGAGGCTGATGTAATAAGACTGACTGATTGAAGAAGAGGTGGAGATTGGATTTATACCCCGCCCTTCACTACCCAAGGGTGTCTCAGAGCGGCTTACAAACTCCTCTCCCTTCCCCTCCCCACAACAGACACCCTGTGAGCAGTGTTCCCTCTAAACTGTGGAGTCCTGTGAGCAAAAATCCCACTTTGTGAGCTCCTGGCCTTAAAGTTGTGAGCGAGCATCAATTAGTTTGCTCTGAAGCCATCCTTCCTGAGCTAAGACAAAAATGTGTGAGCCAGAGGCTAAAAAACTGTGAGCTAGCTCACCCTAACTCAGCTTAGAGGGAACACTGCCTGTGAGGTAGGCAAGGCTCATGCGAGAACAGCTCTGGGAGAACATGTGACTGACCCAAGGCCACACCAGCAGCTGCGTGTGGAGGAGGAGTGGGGAATCAAACCCGGTTCGCCCAGATTAGAGTCCGCCCTCTGAACCACGACACCAAACTGGCTCTCAATTTGACTGGAGTGCCGTTAATCTCAAGAGCACCAATCATGCGGTATCTTCCAGGAGGGACCACGATGGGAGACTTGATTGGCTGTGCCGATTATTAAAAACATCGCTTTGGCGGCTGCCGGCTCCACAGCACGAGGCTCTTCACCGTGTGACCGAAACTACGCCACGGCAGCCGTTTGGTGCCTGCGTCGACCACCTGGTGCCAGAATCCCTCGGGTTTCTCAACGTCCACACACGGCTTATTTCAAGCGACTTGTCATTATGAATCACCAAAGGGTGGGGGGGGGTAGCCTTCTGGCCCAGATCTGTGTTTCGTGAGGTCACTGTTTTGCACAGAAGCCCCCCTCTCCCCGCACCCGGCCTACAGACCACTCACACACTTCCATTTCAATACTCCCCCCATCAGTTTTTTTTAATCTCCGTGCATTAGATCAGATGCTTCCACTCCCAAAGAGAAACAACCCCCAATGGCTAAATCTGTGGTTTGACTGCCCTGCAGGCTCTTCTGTTTACAAAAAGGACACTTAAGTGGTGAGTGGCTGGGCTTCCGGGACTTTGTGTCCTGATACGCGGGCCACCGTGTCCTCAAAGGACAAGGCAACGCGGCTCTCCTCCGAAAGCACGACCACGGTGGCAGTCGTGGAACTCTGACGCACGGCGCGCACACCCACCTGGAACGTCTCCCGCCCCAGGCGGACGATGACCCCGACCGTCTGGGGGTCCAGCTGCACCAGTTCCCCCCACTCGTGCTGGCCGCCCACGTCCACGCCGGAGGCCGTCTCTGAGCAGAGCTGCAGGTCCCGGGGAAGGACTTTGAGCTGCAGGAGGAACAGAGGCCGTGGGAAGGAGGGGCAGGGGGCGACGGTGGAAAAGACCCTTCCCGCTTGGAGCTGTGGGCCTCGGCTAGAGACCAGGCGGCGGCTGGGCCAGGGGCACGTGTGGTCTCCCACTGCCCACCATGGAACCTCAGGGCACGTAATCGGCCGCTGCTGCTTTTATCGCAACGGCCATTTAAACAAGTCTACGCAAACAGAACCAAGAGGGGGCTCGGGAAGCCTCCCCGCCCCCCACCCCGTGATTGTGTCATTTCTTCCCCGGAGGAGACCCCAGTGTTTTGCTGCTGGCAAAGAAAGAGGCCGGGATAGTCGAGGTCATGGCGATCTCGTAAAAAAGAGGTGGACCGGCTGGCTGGGATTTGGAAAGGGCACGGCGCCAGGCCGCAAAGGCAAAGGCTGCGGGAGGCGCAGAGCAACGGCCTGACAAACAAAGCTATTAAAAAAAAGGGAAAAAAGAGGCCAAACTGAGACATAACGAAGAGCGAGACAAGTGGGCAAAATCCAGAAACGAAAGTCACATAAAAACCTTTTGTTTAAAGTAACCGAGACCGGACAGCACAGCACACACGCTTTCCAGAACTCAGAATTAGCACCCTTTCCCTATCTCTGCTTTTTTAGAAGAAGGAGAAGAGATTGGATGTATACCCCACCCTTCACTACCCGAAGGTGTCTCAGAGCAGCTTACAAACTCCTTTCCCTTCCCCTCCCCACAACAGACACCCTGTGCAGTGGGTGATGCTGAGAGAGCTCTTGACAGAAACTGCTCTTTTTCAAGGACAGCTCTTATCAGAACTACGGCTTGCCCAAGGTCATCCAGCCAGGTGCAAGTGGAGGAGTGGGGAATCAAACCTGGTACTCCCAGATTAGAGTCCGCGCACTTCACCACTACACCAAACTGGCTCGTTTTTAAGAGAGCCATCCTGACGAAGGAGCCCTGGAGAAGTCAAAAGCCTGTGCCTTGTGATGGGCTATTTCGGACAGCCTTGACCTGTTTGCATCAACGTTGCTAATTATTAATATTAATGAAAGGTATTCAATGGCTTTTGCTTTTGGATACACCAGGCCTGTAATTCTGTGGAGTCCAAGACAGGATGGGGTACAGAATTGCAGCTGCTTACAAAAAGAGCAAGTTTCCAGCCCTCGCAGTAGGGAAGAGATGCTCCGATACCCCCGCTGGTATCTTAGAAACCACAGCGAGGATAACCAAGAGGTTTTTTGGGTTGGGGGGGGGGGGACCCACAAGCAGATGACACAAGAATAAGGCAAAACAGCTATTCTGTGTTGCTGGAAAGGAAAAGTGCTGTCATAGGATTTTGTATGTAGTCTTGCTGATGTTTTTGTGAGAGAGCTCTTTCCAGAACTGCCCTTGAGAGAACAGCTCTGAGAGAACTTGTGACTGGCCCAAGGTCACACCAGCAGCTGCATGTGTAGGAAGAGAAGAAGAGATTGGATTTATACCCTGCCCTGCAGTACCCAAAGGAGTCTCAGAGCAGCTTACAAACCCCTTTCCCCTCCCCTCCCCACAACAGACACCCTGTGAGGTAGGCGGGGCTGAGAGCGCTCAACTGCCCTTGACAGAACAGCTCTGAAAGAGCTTACGACTGACCCAGGGTCACACCGGCTGCCGCATGTGGAGGAGTGGGGAATCAGACCCCGGTTGTCCCAGATTAGAATCCATGCTCCTAAGCACGACACCAAACTGGCTCTCTAATTGCTCATTTATACAGGTCTTGAAACTGGCAGCACCAAGCCGCAACCTTACACATCACCATCGATTCAGGAGGGGTCGCCGCTTTGATCTGAAGCAGCAGAACAGAGTCGGGAGTCCGGTGGCACGTTGAAGGCCAACAAAGTTGAATCCTGGGTAGAAGCTGTCGGGTGCGTGAACACTTCTTCAGATAAAGTGCTCGCGCACACAAAACGTTATACCTAGAATTAAACTTTGCTGGTCTTAAAGGTGCCACCGGACTCCGACTTGGCTCTGTATCACCAGAACACTTCAAGGAGCAAGTCCCACCATTGCTGTGGGCTACTCTGCCCTCTCCTGCCTCCAACAGAGCTCCACCCCGCCTGCCGCCGCCCCCCCCACCCCGGTTTCCACTCTGCCCGGCTGCTGCTCACCTCGTGCATCGTGAGGTCTGAGAAGAGGATGATGAAGTTCTCCTCCACGCGCACAATCAGGCCCGTGTCCCCCTCGAAGTGGCCGGCGATCACCTTCACGTGGTCCCCCATCTTGAAGTACTTCCGCAGCTCCTGAGCGGGGAACTCCAACATGTCCTAGGGAGAGAAGGAAGGAAGGACGCATGGGTGGTAGGGGGAGGAGGAAGAAACAAACTCCAAAGCCAGTGGCCGCTCGACAGGTGGCAGGGAGACCCAGCCGTCACGTGCAAGGGTTGAACATCCCAAACTTCCACCAATGAACCATTCAGGCTTGTAAGGAGACCCGTGTCTGGTCACCTATGGTGAGTCGGAATGGATTCCCAGGGGTACCTGGAGGGCCATCCTCTCCCATGTGTTCCTGCCCAGAAATTAAGATCACAGGGAGAGACCCTCCTGACTGTCTCACCAATCAAAGAAGCTCATTTGGTGGGTACATGAGGCACGGCCTTTTCAGTGGCAGCCCCACCATTATGGGAAGGCCTCCCCAGGGAGGTGCGCCTGGCCCCCTCGCTTTAGGAGGCAGCTGGAGACAGTTTTATTGAGGACTGCATTTGGTTAAAAGCAATCCTCAATCGCAATTTAATTTTGCTTCATGTATTCTTAACGGACTTCATCTTATAGATTTTATTCATCCTGTAAGCAGTGTCCCCCTCTAAGCTGAGTTAGCGTGAGCTAGCTCACAGCTTGTTAGCCTCCGGCTCACACATTTACGCCTTCGCTCGGGAAGGAGGGCTCCGGAAGAAACTCATTTGTGCAGTCGCCAAATCGCTGGCTCACAAACTTTAAGGCCAGGAGCTCACAAAGTAGACGTTTTGCTCACGAGACGCCACAGCTTGGAGGGAGCATTGCCTGTAAGCCACCTTCAGCTCAGGAAGGAAGGAAGGAAGGAAGGAAGGAAGGAAGGAAGGATCTTTATTTCTGTGAGCCCTCTGTGGCCTGACGCTGGCACACAGAGGCAGCTTTGAGAGACCGGTCTGCATAGCTGGAAAAGACAGCTGTTGGCAAGCGAGATGCGAAAGGCAGGTTTCTTCTACAGTCCGCAAAACTCACTAACAAGGGCTTGTCCCCTGCATTACACATCAGGCTATCGTGTGGGTGGGGGACACAAGGAAACCCAACCGCCCGCTCGCAAGCCACGCGCCAGAAGCCGGCCGGTCACCTTGAGGTCCTCGTGCTTCGGCATGATGGTGATCTTGTTCCCGTCCACACTCAGGATCCTGCCCTGCAGGTTGATCAGCTCCCCTTCGCACACCTCCACGTTGTCTCCGGGCTGGAAGTTGTGCTCCCGCTCCTTACCTAGGGCGACAGGAAGAGGAGGGAAGCCGTGCCACGGGAATGACACGCCCGGCGCGGCGCTTGCTGTCGAGGAGAGGGGCGAGGCAAACGTGCAGCCCGTGGAGAGGCCCGAGGGAACCGGACATAGTCACGCCACCTTCTCTCAAACCTCGGAGGCTGGAGGCACGCTCCCGCGGCTGCAAGGGGGACGGCAGGAGGGGGCGCAGGTCACTCGGGGGCGGCCTACCTGTGCTTTCCATGACCACCTCCAAGTCGATCCCTTCCGGCTGGTCTTCGAACTTCTCCAGCTCGGACAGGGTGGGCTTCACCCCTTCTGTGATCTGAGGCCCAGAGACAGGGCAAGAAAAAGGGGAGGAGGAACAGGAGATGGAGGGGTTCGGAACCAGAGACACGGGGACCCGCACAAACATGGGGCCTGGGCGGGCTTCAAAGGCTTCCCCGAATTTCAGTCTCTCTCTGCCTGACAGGTCAAGGTTAGTAGAAGGATCGGGGTTATCCCCGAGGTCTGTAGCTTCTAAAACAACCCAGCTCTTTGGGAGCCCCTGTGAGTTGATTTTTTTCCTTTTTACACGAGGTTGGAGGATGGTTATGCTGTCAAGCTGTAAAGTCTAACTTTTAGTTGAAAGAGGCTGAAAGGAGCTCGGGGAAAAAACTTCTAAAGCTCGGGGAAGAACAGGAGCCCGCGGCACACCTCACCGAGCCCCTTCATAGCTCCCGTTTATCCCTTCCCGGTGCCCAAGCCTGATTCTTCCCCCCAGCCCCGCAAGAGCCCTCCCCCTCCCATGGCATTCCCCCGGGGGCCCCGTCCTCACCACAGCAGACATGGCAAAGCTCTTGAAGAGGAAGCCCTTCCGGCTGTAACGATTCCCTTCAAAGATGAGGAAATCCCCGTCGGAGGCTACGTCTCCGCCCAGAGACCTGGAACAAACACATGAAGCTGCCTTAGGCCAGATCAGACCCCCCCCCAGTCCATGAAGGGCAGTATCGCCTGCTCAGACTGGCAGCTGCTGTCCAGGGTCTCAGGCGGAGGTCTTTCCCATCACCTCCTGCCTGGTCCCTTTTAACTGGAGGTGCCGGGGATTGAACCTGGGACCTTCTGCATGCCAAGCAGAGCCTCTTCCACTGAGCCACGGCCCCTCTTTACAGCTCTCCAGGGTCTCAGGCAGAAGTCTTTCCCATCACCTCCTGCCTGGTCCTTTTGAACTGGAGATGCTGCCGGGGACTGAACTCTGGGACCTTCTGCATGCCAAGCAGAAGTTCTTCCATGAAGAAGAAGAAGAAGAGATTGGATTTATACCCCGCCCTTCACTACCCAAAGGAGTCTCAGAGCGGCTTACAGACTCCTCTCCCTCCCCCTCCCCACAACAGACACCCTGTGGGGTAGGTGGGTCTGAGAGCGCTCTCTTGAGAACTGCCCTTGAGAGAACAGCACTGAGAGAACTTGTGACTGACCCAAAGTCACACCAGCAGCTGCATGTGGAGGAGTGGGGAATCAAACTCAATTCTCCCAGATTAGAGTCCGCGCAGTTAACTACTACACCAACCTGGGCTCAGAAGAAGAGGAGGAGGAGGAGGAGGAGATTGGATTTATGCCCTGCCCTTCACTACCCGAAGGTGTCTCAGAGCAGCTTACAAACTCCTTTCCCTTCCCCTCCCCACAACAGACACCCTGTGGGGTAGGTGGGGCTGAGAGAGCTCTGACAGAAACTGCCCTTGAGAGAACAACTCTGAGAGAACTTGTGTCTGACCGAAGGTCACCCCAGCAGCCGCATGTGGAGGAGTGGGGAATCAAACCCGCTTTTCCCAGATTAGAGTCTGCGCACTTAACCATGACACCAGACTGGCTGAAGCCACAGCCTCTCCCCAAAAAGAAAAAGGGGCATTTGGATGTCTGCCGGAACAGCAGCAATTGCAGGCAGTGGGACGAAGGGAGACCCAGCCGTGTCTGTGTCACGGAATCAGGTCAGTCTGCGCCAGCTCGGCGGCCTGAAGGGGAACTCGGCAGGCCGGCGTGCGATCCCTCATGGGGCAGCCCCGGCAGCAGTCTTTGCTCCGCCAGGCACCGTCCCTACCCCACACCCCCTCCCTGGCTTTTCACTGCCCATCGCCGGCCCCAGCTGCCGAAGCCCAGGTCACCCCGGGCCCCTCCTCTCCGGCTGCTCACCGGATCTTCTCGGCGTCAAAGAGGCGCTGCGGGGGGCGCTTGAACTTCTTCTGCTTTGAGCGCCACTCTTTCTGCAGTGGGAGACAAGAGGCGGGTGGGGGGGCTCATTCCCAGAACTGGGAAGGGCCCCCCACACACACGCTGTGGCCGCGCCCTCCGACGACGACTCGGGAAGGGCTGTTTCAGGGAGGAGTCAATGAGAGAGGGCCTCCCCTTTCCAATGGAGCACCACCGGAACCTCGTTAGAAAGAGGTTACCCCAACACTGGCCTGCACAGACCGCGCTCCTAAGAGCGGCGCCTGCGGTTCAACACACCGGCCCGTTAAGACAAGCAGCCCCCCCTCCCACTAATCGGGGAGGTGGGTTTGGGGCCGCCAGGCAGCAGAGCAAAGGCCCGGGAACACCCGACAGAACGGGAGGTCATCTGTTATCGGGGAGGGGGGGTGGGTGGGAGATAGCCAACATACCACGCTCTCACGGGCTTCGATGCGTTTAAAATCAATGCGCGGGATCATCTTCAACGAGATCTGGTTCTTGTTCGCCGCCGCCCCCCCGACAACCCCCCCCCGGCGGGGGGGGGGGGGGGGCAAAAAACCCCAGCATTAATGGATTGATTTGATTTTTACCCCGCCCTCCCCGCCGGGGAAGGCTGAGGGCGGCTTACAGAGAAAACGATAGTTAAAACAACAATATAAAAATCAATATCAATATTTCTTAATATTTAGAATCCTAGAGTTGAGGGGCTATACAGAGGCCATCCAGTCCAACCCCCTGCTCAAGGCAGGATCAGCTCAAAGCATCTCTGATACGTGTTTGTCTGGCCGCTACTTGAAGGCTGCCAGGGAGGGGGCTGATTCCACTGCTGAACAACTCTGACTGTCAAAAAGTTTTTCCTAAAACCCGGCCGGTACCTTTCAGCCCATCCTTTAAACCCATTATTGCAAGTCCTGTCCTCTGCTGTCGACCGGAACAGCTCCCTGCCCTCCTCTAAGGGACAGCCCTTCTAATACTTCAAGAGAGCAATTGCTGAGCAGTCACCCAAAAAGAGTGATTAACACGTGGAATTCACTGCCACAGGAGGGGGTGGCGGCTACAAGCATGGACAGCTTCAAGAGGGGATTAGATAAATATCTGGAGCGGAGGTCCATCGGTGGCTCTTAGCCACAAGGTATAGATAGGAACTCTCAGTCTGGGGCAAGGGATGCTCCGTATTCCTGGTGCTTGGGGGGCGGCAACAGTGGGAGGGCTTCTAGTGCTGGACCTCCTGATGTAACCTGGTATTTCTGGCCACTGTGTGACACAGAGCATTGGACTGGAGGGGCCATTGGCCTGATCCAACATTGGCTTCTCTCTTACGTTCTTATGAATTGGAGAAACATACGGAGCAGGGGTCCATCAGTGGCTATTAGCCACAAGGGATAGATAGGGACTCTGGGGCAAGGGATGCTCTGTCTTCTTGGTGCTTGGGGGGGGGCAACAGTGGGAGGGATTCTGGCGTTCTGGCCCCAGTGCTGGACCTCCTGATGGCACCTGGTATTTCTGGCCACTGTGTGACACAGGGTGTTGGGCTGAATGGGCCATTGGCCTGATCCAACAATGGCTTCTCTTATGTTCTTATGAATTGGAGAAACATACGGAGCAGGGGTCCATCAGTGGCTATTAGCCACAAGGGATAGATAGGAGCTCTCAGTCTGGGGCAAGGGATGCTCTGTATTCCTGGTGCTTGTGGGGCGGCAACAGCGGGAGGGCTTCTAGTGTCCTGGCCCCACTGCTAGACCTCCTGATGGAACCTGGTATTTCTGGCCACTGTGAAAGAGTGAAAACCCGCTCTGCTTTGACCCGCTTTGGGAAGGGCCCCGAGGGAGCGGCTCTCACCTGAGCGATGTCGTCTTTGTAGATGCCCCTCTTGAGCCGGACCCAGGACTTGGGCTTCAGGTTGGTCACCTCCTTCACCACCTTCAGCACGTCCGTCATCTCCTTGATGGGCACCATCTGCTGGTTCCAGTAGCCCATCCGCAGGTTGCCCACCCCCTCAATGGCCTGCTTCACGTGGGTCTGCTTGTAGGCCTCCACATAGATGTAGCCCTTCACATGCTCGGGAGCCACGACCGACTTGATCTGCAAGGGCTGGGGAGCAAAAGGGGCGGGGAGGGGGGCTGAGCCAAGGGCAGGCTGGGACAGGGAAGGTCCCAACCAGAGCCTGGAAGGACGGCAGGATGGCCGCGATTCCGGGGTATGAGCTTTCGACCTGGTGGGCTCCAGAACCCGCCCATGAAAGCCAGCAACTGCAACGAACAGACGTAAAGGCCTGCCTGGAACTTCACCACCGCATGCCTCACCCTCTGCAAGGAGCAGACACGAAGCTGCCTCCTACTGCATCAGACCCCCAAGTCCATCAAAGTCGGTCTTGTCTACTCGGACTGGCAGCCGCTCTCCAGGGTCTCAGGCAGAGAGGTCTCTCCCATCCCCTCCTGCCTGGCCCTTTTCAACTGGAGATGCTGTCCTTTGATTTAATTTCAACATGTTGGTTTTGCTCCGGCCTTCTGGGGCAACAGAAAACAACGCCGCACCATCCTCCGTACGGCAGCCCTTCAAGGACTCGGAGATGGTTCTCATATCACCGCTCAGTCGTCTCCTCTCCAGGCTAAATTTATTTATTTTATACCTTGCACCCTCTCCCCCACGGGAGGCATGGGATGTCTGTGAACGAATGACTTTTCATTCCCCGTACGCCGTCAGGGAGCAGCCCTGCAAGGTTTCTGTGGAGAGAGCCCCACCCCATGCGGGGAACACTGAACCATTTTCAGCCCTGACCCGCCCTCCACAGTGGGACCAGCCAAACACAGTTTTCATCAGCACTGAGAAACAGAAGCTCAGCACATCAAGAACCGGAGCGCCTGTATTCTGGGACTCCCTTCATTTCCCCACTTACAGTGTCAGTGAACTGGTAGGCGATGAACTTCCGCATCAGGGCGATGGCCGTGGCCCGCTCCTCTCCGATCTGGGGGGGGGAGGGGGAAACGTGTTAGAATGGAAACCATGTTCAGCGGCCAAACGGCTCTACCCGACCCAAAGGCTAAGGCGACCCTGCTGGAGCAGAGCCCAGAGGAGGGAACGGCTGCCTCGGCCTGTTGGCGACTTACCTTACATTTCACTGTCCAAAGATTGGGATCCCTGGATGGCGGGAGAAGAAAGCACATGTCAGCATGCCGTGCCCCAGATCAGCACTGCCCATTCCTTGTGGCGGGCCAGAGGGCGCCTCAGCCACGCCTCTTTTGCCGCTGTCCTCCCTACAGTCCCTCGTCTCACCCCGCCACTCCACCCCACCCACCACCTTCAAGGTCCAGTCTTCCCGCAAACGCCCCCCCCCCCCCCACACAAACACACACACAAACACAAGGTCCTTACTTGACGCCGGGAAGCAACTGCTGCTGCGTGATGTCATCGGAGAGCTCGTCGGAGCCGCCGTACACCCTGGAAGGGGCAAAGAGGAGAGCGGTGAGCTACCTGCGGTGGAGATGGGAACGCCACTGAGAAGGCGCCGACGCGCACGGCCCGCGGGGCAGGGCAGAAGCCCCATACTCACGTCTCTCCCACAGAGGATTTGGCATATTTCTTCATGTAGTACTCCCCCAACTCTTCCTCTCGCTGGTCCCTGAAAATATCCGGGGGGGGGGGGGGGGTATTAGAACGGGGAGGTGACGGGAAGGCACATCAGCCAATCCAAGCTCGTTCATCTGTCAAGCTGGCTGCTACTAGAGCCAGGGCCTTTTCAGTGGTGGCTCCATACTGGTGGAATGAGCTCCCGGAGGAGATCAGGGCCCTGTGGCATCTTTTATAGTTCCGCAGGGCCTGCAAGATGGAGCTCTTTCACCAGGCATTCAATTAGGAGCCACCACCCCACTACCACCAACATCGGTGGCTATGGATTGGCCCTGGCCTGGAGAATCTGCCGCACTACCGCGCAATGCCAAAGACCACGGAATTAGAAACACTGGTTGTATGTTATACAAATTGAACTACTGATAGACGATCATCAGCACTAGCGCTCTGTTTATTGGACTGTTTTAAATGTTTTAGAATGTTTTAATCCTTGTATGGTTTTATGGTACTGGGTACCAATTCTGTAAGCCGCCGTGAGCCCATTTGTGGGGAGGGCAGGGTGTAAATAGAATAATTTTTTTAAAAAAAAAATCTCTGGGGGTCCCAGATTCGAATCCCACCTCGGTCCTGAACTCATTGAGTGAGTGGCCCTAGACAAAGAGGTGGGCAAATGAGACGACCCCCCCTCCCCCCAGCCATGGGAGCTAAGACCCCATACAGGAAAACAAGGTGCTAAAAGGACATTTAACGGGAGAAAGGCGAGAGAGACCAGGCCCCGTCTGCAGGCTCACGATTCTCTCGTTCCACTCCCCGTCCTCCCAACCTGGCAGCTAGTCCCCTTTTTAACCGATTACCTCCATAAGTTCTGCAGTCTCCGCGCCCCGGAGCGGTCCTCGTCCAGAACCACGTTATCAATGTTGGACGCTGGGAGGAGAGACAGAAGTTTCAGACGCGGAGGACAAAAGGGAAAGGTGGGGGGCAAGGCAAGAGCCAAGGGGTGTCGTGGACAACCAGTGTGGGTTGGGGGGGGGGCCTGTCAAGAACATTCAGAACAGCAAACAAGTCTGAACCGTTTGCAGTGCCGAAGTCCCTTTCACTCTGTGGTCATTCCGACGCATCTGCCCACTGAGACAGGAGGAAAGAGAGAAAGACAAAGAAATAAGACAGGAAGAAAGAAAGAAAAGACGCACCTAAGAGAGTCTGGGACAGCCCCTTCGGATTAGGAGCACCTGGAAAACACCCCTGCGCGTCCCCTGCTGCTTCTCGATGGCAAAAGCCTCAGGACATGAAGCCGCCTTCTGCTGAGTCAGACCATCACTCCACCCAGGTCAGTATTGTCCGCTCGGACTGGCAGCCGCTCTCCAGGGTCTCAGGCAGAGAAGGTCTCTCGCATCACCGCCTGCCTGGCCCTTTTTAACTGGAGGTGCCGTCGGGGATTGAACCTGGGACACTCGGCATGCAAACCCACAGGCTCTACCACTGAATCACAGCCCCTCTTTGCAGCTCTCCAGGGTCTCAGGCAGAGGTCTTTCCCCGTCACCTCCTGCCTAGTCCTTTTTAACTGGAGATGCCGGGGATTGAACCTGGGACCTTCTGCATGCCAAGCAGAGGCTCTGTCACTGAGCCACAGCCCCTCTTGACAGCTCTCCAGGGTCTCAGGCGGAGGTCTTTCTCATCACCTCCTGCCTGGTCCTTTTCAACTAGAGATGCTGGGGACTGAACCTGGGACCTTCTGCATGCCAAGCAGATGCTCTACCACTGAGCCACGGCCCCTCTTGACAGCTCTCCGGGGCCTCAGGCGGAGGTCTTTCCCATCACCTGCCTGGCCCTTTTTAACTGGAGATGCCGGGGATTGAACCTGGAACCTCCTGCATGCCGAGCAGAGACTCTACTGCTGAGCCACGGCCCCTCTTGACAGCTCTCCAGGGTCTCAGGAAGAGGTCTTTCCCATCACCTCCTGCCTGGTCCTTTTTAACTGGAGATGCCGGGGACTGAACCTGGGACCTTCTGCATGCCAAGCAGAGGCTCTACCACTGAGCCACGGCCCCTCTTGACAGCTCTCCAGGGTCTCAGGCGGAGGTCTTTCAACCGGAGGTGCCGCCGGGGATTGAACCTGGCACCCTTGGCATGCAAACCCAGAGGCTCTGGCACTGAGCCACGGCCCCCTCGGATGCTTCGGTGGTCTCCTGATGACAGCACTCCAGGAAGAGACTAGAGCCCAGCTCTCCCTGGGCACTGCAGGCACGGGGAAAAGGAACAAACGGCGTCCAGAGCAGAGCCCTTGAAAGCGGTCTGAGACCCAAATGCGGCTCTCGGGCAGAGCCGCCCACCCCAGCCTAGTTAAACTGCGGAACTCGCTGCCACAGGCTGCCGTGAAGGCTGCCAACTGGGAAGGCTTTTAAAGGGGGGGTTGGGCTAATTCACGGCAGGCTGGGCTATCGATGGCTTCTAGTCACGATGGACATCCACTCCCTCCAGTAGCAGTGGCAGTCTGCCTCTTTAAAGTCAGTGTCAGAGAGGAGCCGCGTTGGGTCTGCAATAAAAGAGTTAGATTCGAGTCTGGTTTCACCTTAGAGACCGACAAGATTTTCACGGTGAAAGCTTTCGAGAGCCAAACCACCCTTTGTCAGAGACTTCAAAGTCAGTTAAACCTAAAGACAACTGTAGAACTAGTCGCTCAGGAGCACGGGGCGGGGGGAAGCGGGGAGAAGTGCTGTTGCAGTCACTCCGCTCGTGGGCTTCCCAGCGGTAGCTAGTCAGCCACTGTGAGACACAGGACGCTGGGCTAGATGGGCCCTCAGTGGTCTGACCTAGCAGGGCTCTTCTGGTGTCCTTTTCAGGGGAAGGCCTCGGCCTCTGTACCCTGTTGTTGGACCTCCCGAGGAACTGTTTGGCCCCTGTGTGAGACAGGATGCTGGACTAGATGGACCCTCACTGGTCTGTTCCAGCAGGGCTCTTCTGGGGTTCTTATAAAGGACTCGGCCTCTGTGCCCTGTTGCTGGCCCTCCAGAGGAACTGGCGGGCCCGTGTGTGAGGCAGGAGGCTGGATTAGATGGGCCTTTGGTCTGATCCAGCAGGCCTCTTCTTATATTCTTATCAGCAGAAGGCCTCGGCCTCTATGCCCTGTTGTTGGCCCTCCAGAGGAACTGGTTGGCCCCTGTGGGAGACAGGAAGCTGGACTAGATGGACCCTCACTGGTCTGATCTAACAGGGTTCTTCTGATGTTATCAGGGTAAAGCCTTGGCCTCTCTGCCCTGTTGTTGGCCCTCCAGAGGAACCAATTGGCCACTGTGTGAACAGAACGCTGGACTGGATGGGCCTTTGGTCTGATCCAGCAGGGCTCTTCCGATGTTCTCAAACGGTGACAGACACCGCAGGGAAGTTCTGCTGCAGGTCACTGAGTGGGTCACGTCCCTTTGTACCTGCTCCCGGACCTCATGCCCTGTCCCCACATCCTGCCAGGGACGAAGCCAAGTGGTCGAGCGTGCTCCGCTCTCCCCTCCCCTCCGAGCACGCGCCATTCAAGAGAACCCACTGGACTGGAAAGAAGCAGAGAAGCAAGGCTGGCGAAGAGGAAAGGAGCTGGAATGAGAGGAGGAAACCAAAATCCTTTTCTTACCTTCAATCTCTTCTGCTCATGAAGAGGTGGTGGTGGTGGTGGAGGAGGAGGGCGGACAGTATGAGCCAAATAATACCATCAAAACCAACCACAGGGTGGGGGTGAATGAGGGACAGAAAAGCGGAAGGAACAAAATTAAAACGTGGCATGGACCAAGCGGAAGCGAATGAAATGCATGTCGCTCCAAAGAGAAGCCACCAGGCCGGGGAGCGCCAGCAAGAGGCGGAGCCCCCGGGGAGAGGTGGGGACCCAGAGGTTGAACAAGCACCTGGCCATTTGCCTTTTTCTTCCCAACAGCTACCCCGGGGGGTGCCGGCACTAGAGATGTGAAGGCCCAGAAAAAAACCAGAAAAATTTGGGGGGAAACCCAGGTCCCCCCCCCCCCCGTTTTTTCCATGAAGCCTTTTTTTATTTTTGTCCGAAAAATTGGGAAAATTGAAAAAAGAAAAAAAAAATTGATTGTGGAACGTTTTATTTTAACATGATGAATAAACTATTCTAAGACAAGGTGTTCAAATGTTTTCCAAATCATTTCTAAAAAATATGTATGGTATCAGATTAATCTAATTTCTGTGCACTGAGGACAAGCAAGTCCTAGGTTACAAACTGAACTCTCCAATGGATAATGACAGACACAACAGAGTATCTGCAGAAGCAGACTGAAACTGATACTGATAATTACAGTTCAGAAAATGATTCTGATTAAATTTCAAGCCCATTCATTGACAATTAGTCCCACACTCCCTTCTATACACTTCTCCCCGCTTCAATTCTTTTTATGAGAATGGGTTTTTTATTTTTATTTAATACTGTGGAGAGGAAATATGAATAATTGTTACTTCTGGATTTTTAAAAATTGTTTCGTGGAGGTTTTTTGTCTGTTCCACATAAACTAGTAAACAATTCAGGAGATTGTTTCTGAGCCCGTTTGCGGGGAGGGCGGGGTAAAAATGCAAAAAATCAATCAATCAATAAATAGTTGCTCCACTTGTTACAATTACAAATAAATATTATTTAAAAAGTAAATTCTGTTTGTGATAACTGTATGGATACACTATATTTTCAATATGCTAGTTGTGATCATTTCATGCCAAGCAAAATTGTCCATAGTTATATTTTATGTTCCTAAAGTAACAGAATGACTTTCAATGTGGAAAAGAAAATTGAAGTGCTAATGTAGCATTTTTTTTCAATTTTTCCAATAATTTCCATTTATTTCCGAAAAAAACCTGGAGGTTTTTCCAAGCTTCAAAATTTCCAGAAACTTTACATCTCTAACTGCCACATCTCCATCAATAGTGAGCTCCTACACCTTGCCGTAACCATGAATCTTATGAATTTTCTGACAAAGCGTCAGGGGAGGATTTGACTTGCTTTGCTGTTTCGGTCTTGGGACACTGAAAAAGAAACTCTACCTCTCGTAGACGCTTAAAAACGTGACTGGAATCCCCCGCCACCCCCCCCCCCCCCCGAAAAAAGGTCTTCCAGTGTTAAGGATCTGACTGATCGGAGAGAAGAATAAGTACGAAGTACAAAGACATCAAACTACCGAACCACCTTAACTTGGTGTATCCCTGATCTTGGAAGCTATATACGAATAATTCTACTGACACAGTCAAAGACCAAGAAAAAAAATAACAAAAACTGTGTACCGACAGATGGAGACAGACGGATATAGAAAATGTGTGGCACGTTCCCTCTTGAATTTTGATACAGAACAGACTGGAATGTTGGTTCTTTGAAAAAGCTGCAGGGCAATACGAGACCGCCGTTAACCGACACGCTCTTAGAGAATCTTCAAGATCTTCTCATTTGGAACCATCCTTCCGGAGCAACGATTTGTACACTTATTGGACTCTTTGCGCCATTCCTTGGTTTGTTATTTACACAACTGTGAATGTATGTCTATGATGTTCTTCTGACTGCCGGAGGAGTTACCATTAGAGATATAGTTTGTTTAGTCATTCTTTATTCGGCATATACATTTCTATTGTGTTGTAACATTGTTGGTACACAGTTTTTGTTATTTTTTTTCCTGATCTCGGAAGCTAAGCAGGGTCGGCCCTGGTCAGTACTTGGACGGGAGACCGCCAAGGAAGTCCAGGGTGGCTACGCAGAGGCAGGCGATGGCCAACCGCCTCTGTTCTTTCTTGCCCTTACCTGGATGGCCCAGCCTAACTTGATCTCGTCAGATCTTGGCTGTTAAGCAGGGCTGGCCCTGGTCAGTACTTGGACGGGAAACCGCCGCAGAAGTCCAGGGTGGCTACGCAGAGGCAGGCGATGGCAAAACACCTCTGAACACCTCTTGCCTTGACCTGGATGGCCCAGCCTAACCTGATCTCGTCAGATCTCGGCTGCTAAGCAGGGTCGGCCCTGCTTAGTACTTGGGAGGGAGACCGCCGAAGAAGCCCAGAGTGGCTACGCGGAGTCAGGCGAGGCCAAAACCATCTCTGAACACCTCTTGCTTCAAACACCCTACGGGGTCACCACAAGTCAGCGATGACTCGACGGCAGGGAAACGAGCGGGAAACGATCCACGCCTGAGTCTGAGGACTCACGGCCCGTCAGGATCTGCCCACCTCATCCTCAGGACTAACGGGTAGAAGGATGCCCGTGGGTCTCAAAAGGCCTTGTGTACCTGTGCGGACGACACGAGAACGGACAGTCTCACCTTTCTCCAGGATGTCCTCCGCCCCATCCTCCCATTGGTCCTCGTCTTCGTACTCATCGTCCACATCTGATGGGAAAGAGAAAGGCCGGCTTAGATCAGCCCCAGCCCGGACCTGGCAACGAGGAGGCCCGTTCTCCGAAGGAACGCCAAAACGGCTGGCCCGGTGGAGCGGCGCCAAGTGGCGGGGGAGGAAGGCTGTTTACCCGCTTCGTCCAAAATGAAGCCTCCGTGCCTGGGTTTCTTTGCCGGCCGATCGTCGTCGTCTTCCTCCTCCTCCTCGTCATACTCGTCTTCTTCCTCCTCCTCCTCTTCTTCCTCCACTTCTTCTTTCTCGCTGCCTACGGCGCTGACGCGTTCTTCCGGTGGGTGTCGGGGGGGGGGGGGGGGGAGAGAATCTTTACCTTTGGTTTCCAAACCGCGGTTGGCTACTTTTCAGATCCTCCCCTCCCCAAAGCGGCTCGCCGAAACATGGAGGCCGTGTCCTGGTTTTTCAAGACAGGTCTCGCTACGTCAGGATGTCAGCGTCCTTCCTATGACAACATGCTTAGAATCTTCGGCAGCCTCTCACACCCTTACAACTATTCACTAGCCAAAGAAAGGCAGGATGATGTTTTTCAAAGGGAAAACTGGAAATTTCGGAGCGAAATTCCACAGAAATAGTTAATCTTTTGGAATGAGTGAAATGCTTTTTAGACAAGTGTTGCTCAAAATGTACAGGATGAAGACTTTTAGCGGTGACAGTCTGTGGCATTGGATAATGGCAGGGGTCATTTCCTGCAGGAGCGCACAGGAGCGGCGCTCCGGCAGTAAAAAGCCCAGGGGGCAGGCACATGCAACAAGCCCCACCCCTGCCCCCAGCAGCCCTCAGTCAGAGCAAGAAGCAACCAGGTAAGTTGCAGAGCGCCCCCGCGGGCCCCCGGCCCAAAACAGTCCAGTGGCACCTTTAAGACCAAGTTTTATTCAGGTACAAGCTCTCCCTCCTCTGTGAGGGCAGATCTGCACATGTGTCCCCCCCCAAAATAGCTAGCAATCCAAAACAGTCCAGTGGAGCCTGAGCGGTGGGTGTTGCCTTCTGACACACTTCCGTTGATGCCAGGGGGTGTGGCATATGCAAATAAGTTATGCTAATGAGTTATGCTAATGAGCTCCTGCACCTCTTTTTCTACGAAATGACCCCTGGATAATGGTAACCCTTGTGCGTACTGTAGACATATACTAAACATATTCAAAGACTCACTGTTCAAATGTGATTAATCTCGTCCACAGTTACTATGCTCTGATCCGCAGGATGATAACTATATTACTGAAGAGTTCAACATTTTACATGTTATGAACTTGTACTGAAATATGCTACTCATCCCATGGTGACTGTACAACTGTTTCAGCTCAAATAATATATATTTTTAAAATTACTAGTGTCTACCTCACGGCTTCCATACTGTCCTCTCTCACACGTGCCCAAAACCAAGATATTTCCACTAAAGTAGCACAGGTTGCAGCCAGTGTTCCCTGTAAGCTGAGTTAGTGTGAGCTAGCTCACAGTTTTTTTAGCCTCCGGCGCACACATTTTTGTCTTAGTTCAGGAAGGATGGCTCCAGAGCAAACTGATTTATGCAGTAGCCAAATTGCTCGCTCACAACTTTAATGCCAGTAGCTCACAAAATAGAATTTTCCAGGCAGGCAGGGGTGGGGAGAGGCAGGGAGGAAGCAACTTACCCTCCCTCTTCTCCTGCCTCCTCCTGGCTGAATAAGGGCCGGAAGCGGGGCGGCCGGAAGCAGGGGGTGGGGCTTCATCATGTGCCCCGCCCCCCCGTACCTCACCTGGGGGAACTGCGTTCCCCCACATTCCCCCCCGAAATGACCTCTGATTCAATGTATTAGCACTAGCACTGTATGAGGCTTTGCTTTATCTCATTGTATTTAATTTTAAATTGTTTTTATGTGAATGTACGGTCACCTATAGACCAATTATGTAAGCCGCCCTGAGCCCGCTCGCGGGGTAGGGTGGGGTATAAATTTAATAAATAAAATAATAAATAAATAATTTGGCAACCCTACCACTTCATCTCCTGCTGGTGACTGGAGGGACACACACCTGGCAACCCTATTTGGAAAAGGGGACCTCTGGATAAGGCCAAGTTCGGTGTAGTGGACTCTAATCTGGGAGAACCGGGTTTGATCCCCCACTCCTCCACATGCAGCTGCTGGAGTGATCTTGAGCCAGTCACAAGTTCTCTCAGAGCTGTTCTCTCAAGGGCAGCTCTGGGAAGAGCTCTCTCAGCCCCACCTACCTCACAGGGTGTCTGTTGTGGGGAGGGGAAGGGAGAGGAGTTTGTAAGCCGCTCTGAGACTCCGAGGGAAGGGCGGGCTATAAATCCAATCTCTTCTCCTCAAATAAGACTGATGATTAGTTACCTGTGCTGAATGAGAAATGGACTCCGGATCATAAAACTACGACATTTTATGATCTGTTTATCTTATTTATCCATTTACATTGCTTCTAATCTGTCTTTCGCAAGGCAGATTACACAGGCTGAGTCGATACAATTGATGGAGGGGACATTCAGGGAACGAGGCAACCGGAAGTCTAGAAACAGAACTGGAGCAAAGAATAAGCATTAACATGAACACATTAAATGATGACTGGGGGGGTCAGAGCACCTTCCCCGCGAGGAAAGGCTGAGGACTCTCGGACTCCTAAGTTTAGAAAAGAGGTGACTGAAAGGGGGACATGACCAATGTTCCCTCTAAGCTGTGGAGTTTTGTGAGCAAAAATTCTAGTTTGTGAGCCTACTGGTGTTTAAAGTTGTGAGCGAGCAATTTGGCTGCTGCCTAAATTAGTTTGCCCTGGAGCCATCCTTCCTCAGCTAAGACAAAAATCTGTGAGCTAGAGGCTAAAAAACGGTGAGCTAGCTCACACTTACTCAGCTTAGAGGGAACACTGGAAATGATGGAGGTTTATAAAATTATGCATGTGGTGGAGGGAGTTGATAAAGAGAACTTTTCCCCCCTCTCCCTCCCCAAATTCTAGAACTCGCGGACATTCAATGAAGCTGACGGGCAGTAGGTTCAGGAGGGACAAAAAGGAAAGACTACTTGACACAGACAGTGATTAAAATGTGGGATTCACTGCCAGAGGACATTATGATGGCCAGAGGAATAAACAGCTGTCAAAGTGGAATAGACAGATTCAAGGAGGACAAGTCTGTCAATGGCTACTAGCCATGGTGGCTGAGGGGATCCTCCACATTCAGAGGCACTAACCCTCTGAATCCCAAGCCCAGGAGGCAACGTCAGGGGAAAGCCTCAGCCTCTAGGCTAGGGTTGCCAGTCCCCAGATCCAGGTAGGGGTTCCCCCTGGTTTGGGGGGCTTTTGTCTGCCACCGGCCAGTTGGCCAGTGGGGTAAACCCCGCCCCCGAACAGTGACAGAAGAGTCTTCACCCCAAAAGTGGCATCATCACATCAGGGACCTCATGTGGTGGTGCTCCAATCTGAGGGCAAAATTCTATGGTTTGAAGCCAGTTTTACCATAGTTTTGCCAATGCAATGACATCACTTCTGGGTAACATCATTGTGTCGGGGACATCCCAGAACACCCTCAATTCACCCACCGATGTGGGACCTGGGGACTTGGCAACCCTACTCTATTCTCTGTTGTTGGCCCTCCAGAGTTAAGTAAGTAAGTACTGGGAATATTACTATTTCCATTTATAGTCCACTTGGGACCAAAGGCCGAGTCACAACTCTTACTAGAAAACTAAGGAATTTCCACTTCTACATTCCATAAATACAACAAATAGTGCAATTGTATATGGTAACTACAACTTGGATACTATAAAAATATACTCTGACACTTTTATGGAACTTTAAAACTTTTTTAAATCTTGGAAGTTGAGCAGTGTCAGCCCTAGCTAATATTTTTTGAAATTTCAAGAAACTCTACATCTTAAAAAAACCTGTGTCACCATACCTGCAAAAAGCCTTTTAAAAAGTATGTCAAAAGAGAAAGGTGAATGCATAAGTATTTAAATATTTGAAAGGGAGTCACTTTGAGGAGGGCAGGGAGCTGTTCCTGTTGGCAGTAATGGGTTTAAATTATGGGCGGAAAGGTACCAGCTAGATATTAGAGGGAAAATATCTACAGGAAGAGTAGTTCAGCAGTGGAATCGGCTGCCTCGGGAGGTGGTGAGCTCCCCCCTCACTAACAGTCTTCAAGCAGCAGTCTTGGCCAGTGATGGCGAACCTTTTAGAGACCGAGTGCCCAAACTGCGACCCAAAACCCACTTATTTATCGCAAAGTGCCAACACGGCCATTTAACCTGAATACTGAGGTTTTACTTTAGAAAAAACAACTCATACCTTAACTTAAGATGATCCAAACAAAGTAAGGAAAGCAATCCCAAATGCTTTCATTGACTTAAAATTATTTGGCAGAGAATTCGACACTTTAATGATGGTCTGGGCCTGGCTGGGGCGATGGCACGCGTGCCCACAGAGAGGGCTCTAGGCTGATCCTGGACTGAGTAGGGGGTTGGACTAGATGGCCTCTATGACCCTCCAATTCTATGATTCTATGAAGACATCAGCCGCTTTACTATTCCCATAAGCGACAATTCCACTTTTCTGAGAGGGGTCAATATTTCCCCTGCTTCCCTTTCGTGACTACAGCTTGAAACAGACAGAGCATCCTTCTTCAAGGATAAGGCTTCCACAGACTGGCAAGTACCAGCAACCTCTTCCTGTTAGCTTCTCGTTGCCCCCAATACCTGCTTCCCTTTTCTCCTTCAAGGCTGTCTTCCTTTTAGCACAGGTGCTCCCTTGCCAAGCTTCTCCACGCCCGCACCTTTATGCCCAATGACTGTAGATCAGCGGGTCCCCAAGTATGGACCACGCAACACCCCCTTTAACTGTTCAGAGACTAGCCCAATGGTGGGCCTAGGCTCTCCCGCAACTTTTCTGGGGTGCTCAAAGACACCATGTTTCCTTGAGCAGGCAAGGCATGCCGGTGTGCTTTCTTCCCTCCCGTCAGACTTACCTCGTTTTCCTCGACCTCTTCGGCTTCACTGCTTCGCTCGCTCTCATCTTCGGAGAAATTGCTGTCCTCGCTATCAGACATGTTGGCAGTGCTCTTCTATATCCTGAAGGGGGGGGGGGAACCCAAACAAATTGTATTACAAAGAATCCCTGCCCTAGAATGCAGCAACGCAAAATCGCTACGACGCTTCTGCACGTCGAAGCGGTGTCTTCACAAAGACGAGGCTGCAAAATAGAAAAGCGGAGGAAGGTGCGTGGTACAATAGTCCCAGGGTAAAGCCGACACAGAGTTCTTGGGTTCCCACAAATGCACTACAACAGTTTAGCAAAGAAGTACTTCTCACGCTGCGAGGAAATCTATTCCATGGAGGAACTGCTGACACAAAGTTCTTCCTAATGTTTAGCCAAAAACTCTTCTGATTTCATTTCAATCTGTTGGCTCTAGTCCAGCCTTCTGGGGCAACAGAAAACAGATGCTCCCAGGGACAGCACCTGGAGCTTCCTGCATGCCAAGCGAAGGCTCCGCCCGCCCAGTGACATTGCAAAGTCAGGTACAATTAGCTCCGTAAGCGTCTCACCTCTGACCGGCAGCAGGTCTCCAGGGTGAGAAACACCTCTCCTGCCACCTGCAGATCCCAGAACTGGAGATGGTGGGGCTGATAGGGCTTCCTGCCTGCAAAACAGGAGCTCCATCTAGGGTTGCCAAGTCTGGCTTGGGGGAAACCTGGAGATTTGGGGGGGGGGCAAGGAGGATGGCGTTGGGGAGGAGGCACAGCAGGGTAAACTGCCATGAAGCCCAACCTCCGAAATTGCCATTTCCTCGGGGGTGGGGGACTGAACTGCCAAATTCCAGGTGCGCTTAAATAATATGAACAAAACAAAACTCATGCACAATATTTCAAGAGATTAACCCTTCAAAGACCCGAGAAGGGTGCACAGAAACGGGATTCTTCCGCAGTCAAGCCTTCATGTTGTGAACGTGACAACTCCTTGCCGCGTTAATCTCTTGAAATACCGTGCACGAGCTGTGTTTTGCTCACGTCACTCAAGCATCTGACTGTATCGTTCCTCTACAGCAACTGACGCTTACACGTAGACAAGTTACACGTTTCGTTTCAGTCTCAATATACAATTTAGTGTACACGGTGCTTTAGCATCTGAACACTGCCTTCCACGCCGCGGTCGTTCTGTTGTAGTGATAACCTCCAGGCGAGGCCCGGAGATCTGGAATTACAACTGATCTCCAGGCGACATCCACCACCCCCACCCCCGGGAGAAAAATGGCTGCTTTGGAGAGTGGCATCATACCCCACTGAAATCCCTCCCCCTCCTCCACCACCCTAATCTCCAGGAATTTCTGAACCTGGAGTCGGCACCCCTAAGCCTCAGCCACTGAGCAACAGCAGAGTCTCTTTTTTCTCTCTGCCTCAGGTAGAGTTGCCAACTTCCTGATGGCAGCTGGAGATCCCCTGCTATTGCAACTCATCTCCAGGCGACAGAGATCAGTTCCCCTGGAGAAAAGGGCTGTTTTGGAAGGTGGACTCCCTGGCTTTTGACCTCACTGAATCCCCTCCCCAAACCCGGCCCCCTCTTCAGGCGCCAACCCCAACATCTCCAGGTATTTCCCAACCCAGAGCTGACAACTCTACTCCTGGAATTGCAACTGATCACCAGACTACAGAAAAGAATCATAAGAGTTGGAAAGGGCCACAGAGAACGTCTAGTCCAGTGGTGGCGAACCTATGGCACGGGGGCCAGAGGTGGCACTCAGAGCCCTCTCTGTGGGGCACGCGTGCCATCGCCCCAGCCAGGCCCAGACCGTCATTAAAGTGTCGAATTCTCTGCCAAATAATTTTAAGTCAATGAAAGCATTTGGGATTGCTTTCCTTACCTTGTTTGGGTCATCTTAAGTTAAGGCATGAGTTGTTTTTTTCTAAAGTAAAACCTCAGTATTCAGGTTAAATGGCCGTGTTGGCACTTGGCGATAAATAAGTGGGTTTTGGGTCGCCGTTTGGGCACTCGGTCTCTAAAAGGTTCGCCATCACTGGTCTAGTCCAACCCCCTGCCCAATGCAGGACCAGCCTAGAGCATCCCTGGCAAATATTCGTCCAGCCTCTTCTTGAAAGCTGTCGGTGAAGGGGAGCTGACCGCCTCCCCAGGCAGCCGATTCCACCGTGAAAAAGCTTTCCCTAATACCCAGCTGATACCTTTCTCCACTCCAAACCCGTTGCTTAGGGTTCTCTCCTCTGCTGCCAACTCAAACAGCTCCTTGCCCTCCTCCCGATGACGGCCTTTCAGAAATTTAATGAGAGCAATCATGTCTCCCCCTCAGTCTCCTCTTCTCCAGACTAAACATCCCCAAGGCCCTTAAGCCTTTCCTCGAAGGGCTCAGTCTCCAGACCCCCCGATCACCCTTGCCGCTCTCTTCCGCACCCTCTCGGTTCTGCCCACCTCCTTTTTGAAGCGAGGCCAACCAGAACGGGCACACAGGACTCCAGGTGCAGCCTGACTAAGGCAGTCTACAGAGGGGCCACGACCTCCTGCGGTTTCAATGCTGTGGTTCTTTTGAGATAACCCAAGACGGGGTTTGCCTTTTTTGCCGCCGCATCACACTCGACGGCTCATAACCAGTTTACGGTCCACCCTT